TCTGAAGAGGTGCAAAAACCTTCCCCATTCCCAAGAGCAGAAGATAGGTAGTCCTCAAGTTACGTCCACAAGCAAGCCCCAATTCTCTGTTGCCAGGTGAGTCAGTTAAGCGAGTTTTGCCTCACTTTACGACCTTTCTTGCCACAGTAAGTCATAAATCGAGGACTTCCTGTACTGCCTTTATTCTAGAAACGTTTAAGGCCGCCCAACTCTGCCATGATTCTAGGTGCCGTACCTTCAAAATACAGTTAAAAATCAATTGTTAAGTGAAAACTTCACTGCGGTTGTTAAGTTAATCGGTCGTTAAGTGAATCTGGCTTCCCCATTGACTTGGCTTGTCAGAAGGTCACAAAAGGGGATCACGTGACCCCAGGAATTTGCAACCGTCATAAATGTGAGTCAGTTGAATTTTGATCCACATGACCCATGGGGATACTGAAACGGTCGTAAGTATGCAAAATGATCATAAGGCAGTTTGTTCAGTGCACTTGTAACTTTGAAAGGACGCTGAGCGAACGGTCGTAAGTCAGGAGCTATTTTTATTGATTGATTGGTTTTAGAAAATTGATACCGACTCCAGGCGGCTCCTTGTGTTGTGTTTACGGCATCTTCTAATTGCAGAGTTAGCGGCTTCTCCTTTCCACTTGTTGGTGCTTTCTGTTCCAGCAGAGCTAAAAGAGCAAGAATTTAGCAGTTGAAATAAATTGGAATCAAAAAATAGAAGATGTGCGATTCATTCAAATAACACATTATGAAGTGTATGCAGCCCAGTCTTCAGGCTGCCTAAGATTCAAGGGATTTTGTTCCAAGCTGTTTTTTCCGCCAAGCCTACTTATTTCTGTAACTGTTAAGGGAAACCAGGAAAGGGATTTAGTCCAGCGGTCCCCAATTTTCTGGATCGGTGGTGGTGGTGAGTGACAGTCATGGCAGTGATGGGCGGAAGGTTTCATGCACACAACCTAGATGTTGTGGCCCATACACAGTCTGTGCAGCTAGTAGCTGATTGCGACAGTGAGGAGGCTGGTATGGTGCTGGCTCCAGCAGTCTGTGCAGCTGGCACTCGAGTCAGACAATGAGGAGGCTGGAGAAGATGTGGTGCCAGAGGCGAGGATTCAGCCAGGGCCTTCAGAACCTCCAGAAGCTCCCATAAGTGAAGAGGACGAAGAGGGGGAGCCTCTTCTCAATGCACGGGCGCGCAGAGCTGCCAAAAGGCAGGAGTGGCTCCTCAGGAGGAGGTCTCCTCGAGAGTAAGGCTTGGGGCTAATTGGCCACTCCCTTAGCCTATTTAAGGAGGAACACCAACTGAAACAATTTGCAGGGAACAACTTAGTTCACATACTTTCCTGTCTTGCTTATCTTATCAGCTTCCTGCAAATTGCTTCTGGGCATTCTGCCAACCATAGTAAGCTTTCAGTTATTCTTTGAATTCTTGGCGGCTGTTGATGCAATTAATTAACAGCCGTTGTTGTAAAAGACTGGTTTATTCAGTAAATTAAGGTTTGAACGGACTTTGTGTGTGCTGTGTTCTTTGGGGTCCGTAGCTGGGGCAGAACACTAGATCCTACCCATGCGCAGATGAATCTTCGTGCACTCACCTGCCACAGGCCATGGGACCGGGAGTTCAGGACCCCTGATTTAGACTATCCTGATGTAGTCTTTGACTTACAACAGGTCATTTAGTGACTATTCAAAAACCGGAAATAGTGACTCACGACAGTTTTCGCATTTACGACTGCCGCGTGATCAAAATCCAGGCACTTGCCAACTGACTCATATTTGTGACGGTCGTAGTGTCCTGGGGGAATCACATGATCCCCTTTTGTGACCTTCTGACAAGCAAAGTCAATGGGGAAGCCAGGCTCCCTTAACGACCGTGTGGCTAAGCGAACAACCACGGTGTTTCACTCAACGGCAGCGGCAAGAAAAGTCGTAAAATATGGGGCCAAACTCACTTAACCGCTGTCTCGCTTAGCAGCAGAAATGATGGGGGGGGGAATCGTACCTGTATTCAATAAATGATTCGTATCGCACCTTGGCTTTTGCAATGGTTTGGGAATTCTAGCGTCAGGTGGTGCTCCAGTTGCCAGCAGCCCAAGCTGGGCAGAAACGTGTCGACTTACGTCCACTCTGGAAATGACCTGGTCATGGACGGGGGGTTCCTTCCGTGATCTCCCAGCGGTCCACCTCCAGTTGTCTCTCCGGCTCTCCATAATGAAGCCGCCATTGTTACTCCGTCGCCGAGCAAGGGACGGCGCCCTGGAGACGTTGCTTGGGAGCAGGGCAAACGTCTCTGAAATGCGATGCCTGCTCATCATACTTGGCAGCTCGGCTTGTTGAGCTGAGTGGGCGAGAAGAACGCCAATGATGCAGTTACTATTACAATTTTTTTTTTTTTTAAGGCAGGAGTGTTGACAGAAATGTGATCCCCCACCCAGGGGGGTGAAGAACGGATCTCATTCCGGCTTGGTTGTCAACCTCCATTCCTCTCCTTCGGCTCCACTCTGTTTCCCTTCCTTTGGGGTGCTTGGATCGCCACAATTTTTGGGGGGAACGGAGGGGAAGGTTGGCATCTTGTGGACCAAGGCTTCTGCCCCTTGGCAGTCAAGAGACATTCCGGAGGTTTTGCTCCCCACTTGAAGTTGGCAGTTGTCCACCTTGTAGTGAGGGGGAGGCCGAGGTTTAAGGATGAGAGTGGCACCTGGTAATGGCCTGGTAATACACACCAGGGCAACCTGCCCACATGTCAAAGATGCTAGTTGAGTAAAAGCAGATAAATCCCGGGTAATGCCACCCTCGGCCCCAGCTGTCTGCGGAGACCTTGCACTCAAAAGAGTAGACCTGGGTGACTTTGGGAAGCTCTCGCTGCCACCATCTCGAGCAGCATCTGATAACATCTTCAGCTTCTGGTTTAGAAGAGCCAGATATGGGTGGTCGTCGACTTACGACTATTCGTTTACAGATTATTGCAGTGATAACCTTTTTGCCATTGCGTGCCAGGAAGGGGAGGTAGGGGAGGTTCGCGAGCGTGCATGTGCCCCCAAGCATAATTCTATGCACCCTGCCCTGCGCAAGCATGCATGACCCTGCCCCTCCCCGTCCCCCGCTCCTGGCACACAATGGCCAAGTAGGCCCATTTTTCTTTCTCACCTGGCTCCAGATCCTCTCTATGCATCTGGGGAGGGCAAAAACAGCCTTCCCCACCCCCTCGGAGGCCCGAAATGACCCATTTCCCAACTTCTGGTTGGACAGGAAGTGACATTTTTTGTTGTTCTCAGCCTCCAGAGACTCCTAGAGAGGCTGAGCTGGCGTGCCAGGTGACATGGCTCCGTGTGCCATCTGTGGCACACGTGCCATAGGTTCGCCATCACGGAACTATTGCATGAGCCCTGGGATTCTGCAACCGTCATAAGTATGAGCCAGTTGCCAAGCATCTGAATTTTGATTATGTGACATGGGGGCTGCTGCAACGGTCATAAGTGTGAAAAAATAATCATAAGTGGCTTTTCATTGCCATTGCAACTTTGAACGGTCACTAAGTTGAACTGTTGTAAGTTGAGGACTACCTGTATACGTAGTCTTTGACTTAAAACCATTCGTTTAAAGACTGAAGTTACAATAGCAGTGGAAAAAAATTGACAGGACTGTTTCTTGCACTTCCCGAGTCGCAAATTTCGATTGCTAAGCAAGACTGCCTAAATGAGCTTGGTCTCGCGTTACGATCTTTCTTGCCACAGTTGTTAAGCGAATCACTGCAGTTGTTAAATAATACAGTTGTTAAGTGAATCGGGCTTCCTCGTTGATTTGTCAGAAGGTCGCAAAAGGGGATCACACGACCTCGGGACGCTGCCACCGTCATAAATATGAATCGGTGTCTGAATGTTGATTATGTGACCGTCTTATGTGGGTCTGTCTCGTTTAATGAAGAGGAGGATTGGGGAGGCACGATAGCAGTTTCCAATATTTGAGAGGCTGCCACAAAGAGGAGGTGAGGTCAAATCATTTTACAAAGCACCAGAAGGGCAGGACAAGAAGCAATGGATGGAGACAAATCAAAGAGAGAAAAAAACCTGGAATGAAGGAGAAACTTCCTAACACTGAGGACAATTAAGCAGGGGAACAGCTGGCCACCAGAAGTTGTGGGTGCTCCATCAATGGGGGGCTTTGGGAAGAGATTGAACAGTCACTTGTCTGAAATGGTCTAGGGCCGTGATGGCGAACCTATCTATCTATCTATCTATCTATCTATCTATCTATCTATCTATCTATCTATCTATCTATCTATCTATCTATTTATTTATTTTTAAATTTGTATACCGCCCTTCTCCCTGAGGACTCAGGGCAGTGAACAGCCAAGTAAAAACATAAACTACAAACACTAAAATACAATTAAAAAGATATATATAAATTTGGCCCCATGATTGAAAATAATAAGAGACAATTAAAAACATTTTAAAAAGTGTTAGGCCAGCCCGGCTTGCTGGAAAAAGAAGGTTTTAAGAACCTATGGCACGCGTGCCACAGGTGGCACGTAGAGCCCTTTCTGCAGGCACGCCAACCCAGCTCCACTGCGCATGTGCACACGCCTCCCACCGGCCAGCTTATCTTTGGGTCTCTAATGCACATGCCCTGGGGGGCAGGACGCATGTGCCGGGGATGCTCACATTGCATTTGGGGGGGTTTGCACATCCCCCATGCCCCGTTTTGGGCCTGAAAGACGACCTGCACCAACCTGGAAGCCAAAATGGGGCACAGGGGGATGTGTACGCATTTGTGGGGCGGGGCACATGTATGTGGGGGCACACACATTGCATTTTGGGGGTTCGGGCACGTGCGAGTGCGTTCGTGCGCGCATGCACATGCTTTGGGCACTCGGCCCCAAAAAGGTTAACCATCACGGGTCTAGGGTCTCCTGCTTCAGCAGGGGGCTGGACTAGAAAACCTCCAAGGTGCCTTCCAGTTCTATTCTAAATTCTAAACGTGGCCTCTGTTTCCCTTTGCAGGTCTTGACTTCAGAAGAACTGGGCACAGGCTGGGCCACCCGAAGAAGAGATTTAAAATGTCTCGGGAAACGTATTCTTACGATGTTCCCGATATGTGCCTTGACTTCAAAGATATGAACGACGAGACCATTAACATTGATGCCTGGTTTGGTGAGTACCCGCTCCACGGCTTGGGGGGTGGGGGGGTGAGGGGACGTGCCGTCTGCTAAGAGGCCGAAGTAACTACTGGCCTCTTTCCTGAGCCTTATCGATGGGAAGGGCAGGGGGCTTTATGAGTGATGCTCCACCATTGTTTCTTTGTTTATATCCCACCTTTCTTATTTTTACAACCCAAGGCAGCAAACATCTCCAACACACCCTCCTCCTATTTTCTATACAACAACAGCCCTGCGAGGTGGGTTGGTCTGAGAGAGCGCGTGAGTGGCCAGCTGGGTTTCATGCCTAAGCGGAACTAGAACTCACTGTTCCCTGGTGATAGGCCTAAAGTTTTCTAGCTGGCTTTCATGCTTTCATGCAGGATTAGAATTCCCTGTCTTCCAAGGAGTGGCAAGCTGGGTTTCATGCCTAAGCGGAACTAGAACTCACTGTCTCCTGGTGATTGGGCCAAAGTCACCCAGCCATTTTTCTTGCTTGCGGTGGGACTAGAACTCCCTAATATTCACTGACTCCTAATGATTGCCCTAAAGTCCTCTAACTGGCTTTCATGCTTAACGCAGGACTAGAACTCACCATCTCCTGGTGATTGGTCCAAAGTCACCTGGCCAGGTTTTGTGCTTACATTGGGACTAGAACTCACTGTCTCCCAGTGAGTAGCCAGCTGGATTTCATGTCTAAGCAAAACTAGAATTCACTTCCTAATGATTGGCCTAAAGTCCTCTAGCTGGCTTTCATACTTAAGGCAGGACTAGAACTCACCGTCTCCTGGTGATTGGCCCAAAGTTACCTAGCCAGTTTTCCTGCTTATGGTGGGACTAGAACTCCCTGTCTCCCAGGGAGTGGCCAGCTGGGTTTCATGCCTAAGCAAAACTAGAACTCACCATCTCCTGATGATTGGCCTTAAGTTCTGTAACTGGCTTTCATGCTTAAGGCAGGACTAGAACTCACCATCTCCTAATAATTGGCCTAAAGTCCTCTAGCTGGCTTTCATGCTTAACACAGGACTAGAACTCACCATGTCATGGTGATTGACCCAAAGTCACCTGGCCAGTTTTTGTGCTTACAGTGGGACTAGAACTCCCTGTCTCCCAGGGAGTGGCCAGCTGAGTTTCATGCCTAAGGAAAGCTAGAACTCACCATCTCCTGGTGATTGGCCTTAAGTTCTGTAACTGGCTTTCATGCTTAAGGCAGGACTAGAACTCACCATCTCCTGGTGATTGGCCCAAAGCCACCTAGCCAGTTTTTGTGCTTATGGTGGGACTAGAACTCCCTGTCTCCCGGTTTGTAGTTTGATGCCTTAACTGCTAAACCAAACCGACCCTTTAGACTGGGCGCAGGGAGGTTCTTGGTGATTGGTCTGCTTGCCTCGCAGCGAGGACCCTGCTAGGATCGTAACTATTTTTGCAGATGTCCGATCTGCCGCCTTGATGACCCCAAGAGCAGAGATGGGTACGTCGGGCATCCTACCCAAAGCCTTATCATCGAGGCCTAACCTTCCCTGGGCTGTGGTCTCACCCATGATGAAATCAGGTGAGATGCTTCCTTGAGACCTGACCTTGGACTCCTTTGTTCTCTTAATCCCACCAACATGGAGTCTCAAGGCATTCCTTGAATTCTGAGGCACCATCCCCTTCTTCTTTGGGCCGCATCCCGGAGTCCCCGCTAGCCGTTTTAACATGGGCGCGGCAAATTGTGGGCACTCGGCCTCTGGGGGTGTCTCTCTTGGACTTTAAAATGCCGGGTCTCCCACGCGGAGAGTTCAGATGAGCTACTATCTCGTCCTCTCTTGAGGCCACCCGAGGCTCTCTGGATGCTGATAGCTCCTCTTTGGTGTGTGAGGAGAGCAGACTACGAAAGGGCTCCGAGTCTCCCCAAGTGTCCACGTCGGTCTCTTCCAAAATATAATTCCATTCTTCTCCAGGAGCTTACAGTCCTGGTGAGGACCATGCTTGGTTCCATGATCTCTGCTTAGATCTCTCGCCTGAGAAATGTCCTCTATGTCTCCTTACCTTTAGATGAGAAGGAGAATGGAAATCAAGAGGTGGAGCTGGCAAACGAAGGCCCAGCCAATGTGGTTCATTCCATGGCGGAGTGGCACCCAACCAGGCAAGAGAACCCACCGCCTCCAGGAAGGTAAGACTCTGCTTTTTCTTGAACGCCGTCCTGGATGGAGTCCCCCTTCTTCTGGAATGGGGCTGTTCCTTCAGCTTTCGGGCTCCAGAACTGCCTCTTAACAAAATAACAAGAGTTGGAAGGGGCCTTGGAGTCCAGGGATCAGCAACCTGTGGCTCTGGAGCCACATGTGGCTCTTTCATCCCTCTGCTGTGGCTCCCTGTTGCTGTTCTGTCCCCGTCTCACACACGCACACAAACAGACAGCCGGGGGTTAAATAAACTGGCAGACAACCAATTCTTTCGATAAGAGGATTGGCAGCAACCCAGTAGCTGCTTGCCAAGACTTTACTCCTAAACAAAATACACACAGTTCAAGAATTGTCAAGTCCAGTCCGTAATTAAATCCAAGGCAGATAATGTTGTTTCCAAAGATGCAATGTGACTCGATAGTAGTTAGTTTTGTCCGTCACAGAGTCTGAATGGCCACCTCACCCCCTTTTATACCCTGTGGGGTGTGGTCCAGTGACTCAGCTTAATCTCTGGCACGCCTCTTCTGTTGCGCACGCTTATCTCTGCGACGCTGCTGAGGATCCAGCCAAGACTCATTACCCTCATCACTGTCCACCTGTGGCTGCATGGACGTGCTTGGCCCCGGCCCTATCTCTTGCCCTTTGGTGGACACCGAAGGCATTGCCAGAGAGGAGGGTCCTGGAGAGGGAGGCCTTGCCAACTCCTCTCCTTCACTCTCGGAGTCCTCTCCTGCCGATGACACAGGCTCAGGTAACGGAGCCACAACAGTTGCTGCTCGGCTCCACAATTGATAGGGCTTTCAGTTAGGATAGGTAGAGGAAAAAGGACGCCGTGCTAGGAGGAGACTCTCTGGTGGGGAAACCGACTTCTGGTCGGCAGAGTAAAAAGAACACTGTGCTAGGAGGAGACTCTCTGGTGGAGGAACCAGACTTCCGGTCAGCAGAGGAAAAAGGATGCTGCGCTAGGAGGTGACTATATTGGGGGAACCGGACTTCCAGTCGGCTCCAGAATTGAACGGGGGCTTCCAGTTAGGACCTTTGTGGCTGTTTCAGTGTTTAAGGTTGCTGACCCCTGTTCTAGGAGACCCTACATCCTTCTGGACAAATGATTGTCCAGTCTCTTGAAAACCTCCAGTGATGAAGCACCCACAACTTCTGGAGGCAAGTCGTTGCGCTTATGAATTGTTCCCACTGTCAGGAAATTTCTCCTTGGTTCTAGGCTGACGAGACTTGGAGAATAACTTTATTGTCACTTTAAATGTATATTAATTGGCATACCTTAAAGTGAAATGTCATTGCATACAGCTCTCAAAGGGTCACCACATCCAATATACACTACATAAATATGACAAACAAACAAATAAACAATTACGTGTATACCCGCATATATGACACGGAGAAAACAACACAGTACCTGCCGAGAGAAACGAATCTTGTGGGTTTACCAGACGGATGGCCTAGGGAACAAAGCTGTTGCAGAATCAGGTAGTCCTGTGAGAAATACTTCGAAACCTCCCAGAGAGGAGCAGCAGAAACAGACAGTGAAGTGGGCGTGTGGGGTCTCTAACAAAGCTTTGAGCTCTAAGCACATAGCGTTTATAAGCAGCATCCTGAATAACAGCAAGCTTCCTATAATCTTCTCCACAAAACTCCCTTAACAACTGTTTTGCTCAGCGATTTTTTTTGGCTCAATTGTGGTCGTAAGTAGAGGACTACCTGAGCTATCAGTATGGAAAGAATGACCAACCCCGTTTGTCCAGCACATTGTCCGCTGAAGGGCTTGAGATCGTCCAGCTTCTATACCTGGAAAGGCTGAACTTACCTCTCTTGCCTTGCGAGAATGGCCGGTGGGACTTGAAGGGGCTCCGCATCCTGGCACAGCTGAAAGGCAACGACCAGCCTCTCTCTCTCTCTCCTCCTCCCTCCCTCTGTCTTTCGCTCAAGGACTCCTTTTCTTCCCCCCCCCTTTAGGGTGGCCAAGAAGCTTTCGGCCCGGCGAAAGAGTGCCCAGCGTCGGATTATGGCCAAAAGCCACGCAGAGAAGGTTGCCACCACCTTGGCCAGCAAACAAGAACCCCCTCCTGTGAAGAAACAGAAAATGTAGGTCTTTGGGATAACACCGGCACTTAGACGTAGATACCGCCCCACAGTGCGTTACAGCCTTCTCTAGGCGGTTTTCAATGACGGCGTTATTGGCATCTTGCCCCCAACGATCTGGGTCCTAGTACATATTTATCCTTCCTCTTACATTTAAATTTAATGTATTACAACATTTCCCCCATATTTCTTATTTTTATTTATTTATTTATTTATTGGTTCGATTTATATGCCGCCCTTTTCCAGAGACTCAGGGCGGCTTACAATGCATTAAGCAATAGCCTTCATACTTTTGTATATACCTGCTTAGTACGACTTTCGGCCCTCCCACAATCCGGGTCCTCATTTTACCTACCTCGGAAGGATGGAAGGCTGAGTCAACCTTGAGCCTGGTGAGATTCGGACTTTGCAGTAATTGCAGGCAGCTGTTGTTACTTAACAGCACTTTAGTCTGCTGCACCACCAAGGCAATTTTATTTTTTTTTTAATTTGATTTATATGCCGCGCTTCTCCGGAGACTCAGGGCAGCTTACAATGCGTTAAGCAATAGCCTTCATACTTTTGTATATTTTATACAAAGTCAGCTTATTGCCCCCACAATCTGGGTCCTCATTTCACCTCCCTTTGAAAGGATGGAAGGCTGAGTCAACCTTGAGCCTTGGAGAGATTTGAACCAGCAGAAATTGCAGGCAGCTGTGTTAATAACAGGGTGCACTAAACCACTGTACTATCAAGGCTCTTTTTTTTACATTTTACTCTTTTTTTTACAATTTTTACATTGCCTATTGTCTATATTCAGTCCCTATCCATCGATAAAATTGCCCCATATGTTGTAATACTCCGATTCTTCCTTCCCTCTAATTGCTAATGTTAATCTATTCATTTCTGCACATTCTACTATTTTCTTAATGAGCTCTCCCTTTGTAGGATTTTTTTCTGCTTTCCGATTTTGTGCAAATACCATTCTTGCTGCCATTATTACATGGATAATCAATTATGTATTTTCTTTACTAAAGATACCCAACAGGAACAGCTCCGGTTTAAGATCCATGTGTTGCTGTGTCATTTTCTCTAGACATATTCGAATTTTTGCCCAATAATTTCTCGCTTCTGGACATGTCCACCACATGTGATAGTACGATCCCGATGTCTGGTGGCATTTCCAACATTTAAATTTAAATGTAAGAGGAAAGATAAATATGTAGTTGACAGAGCTTGCCTGCAATACTGCATTCTATCCATTGCCTCAACAGATATAGAATAGGTGATGATAGATATATAGTTGGATGGATGGATGGAGGGCTATAGATGAGAGACAGAGAGAGAGAGAGAGATTATATATGCACACACACACATACACACATACACACACATATGGTTTTTAAATTGGAGTTTTAACTTGGGGTTTTAAATTTTGGCCGAAACTATTTAATTGATTTTAATTACTTTTAATGATGATGTCTGTATATTTATGTTTTTAAATTGGCTGTACACCGCCCCGAGTCCTTCGGGAGAAGGGCGGTATATAAATAAAATTAACATTAACATTAACATATATATATATATATATGATAGAGAGAAATGATAGAGAGCGGGGTAGAGCATTAGCACTTAGACTTCTAAACTGCTTCACAGTCTTTACAGCTCTCTCTAAGCAGTTTACAGAGTCAGCACATTGCCCCCAACTATCTGGGTCCACATTTTACCCACCTCGGAAGGCTGAGTCGACCTTGAGCCGGTCAGGATTGAACTGCTGGCAGTGAGCAGAGCTAGCCTGCAATACTGCATTTTAGCCACTGCGCCACCACGACTCAGAAGGAAGGAATAGCAGTAGCAATAGTCCCTAGACTTATATACCGCTTCCCAGTGCTTTACAGCTCCCTCTAAGCGGTTTACAGAGTCAGCACCTTGCCCCCAACAATCTGGGTCCTCGTTTTACTTTGGAAGGACGGTAGGCTGAGTCGACCTTCAGCTGGTGTGGATCGAACTGCTGGCAGATGGCAGAGTTAGCTTGCAATACTGCATTCTACCCACCAGATACAGAATAGGCAATGATACCTTGTGTGCTGGATTGCTCTGTCTGATAAAGTTAGGCTCCTGATAAAGGAGAATGTTGGTAGCTCAGCGTTGAAATGTGGTCTCCGAGCTTGGGTGTTTTCTTGCAGGCGCTTCATGACCCATCTTCAGTGTTAGAAGGGAGGAGGGAGTGCAGAGTGGGAAAGAGGGAAAAGGGAGGAAGAGGAGAAGGTGGACTGTGGAGTTCTTGGTACCCGCTGAGCTTGGATGTTTTCAGACGTTTCATGACCCATCTAGATAGCATCATCAGTGCTAGAAGGGAGGAGGGTTTGAAGAGTGCAGGAGGAGGAGGACCCTGGGGTCCTTGGGGGTGCTCTGAGCTTTTTCTCGCAGACCTTTCAGTCCCCAACTAGGGAACTAGTTGCCAGCTAGGGCGCTCTACATGGAGCTACCCTTGAAGAGTGTTCGGAGACTACAGTTGGTCCAGAACGCAGCCGCGAGAGCTGTCGTGGGTGCACCTAGGTACACCCACATTACACCAATTCTCCGCGAGCTGCACTGGCTCCCTATTGGTCTCCGGTCACAATTCAAGGTGTTGGTTATTACCTTTAAAGCCCTACATGGCTCAGGACCAGGGTATCTTCGAGACCGCCTTCTGCCCCATAGCTCCCAGCGACTGGTAAGATCCCACAGAGTTGGTCTCCTCCGGGTCCCGTCAGCTAAACAATGCCGGCTGGCGGGCCCACGGGGGAGGGCCTTCTCTGTGGCTGCCCCAGCTCTCTGGAACCAGTTACCTCCTGAGGTCCGGACCGTCCCCACCCTATTGGCCTTCCGGAAAGCGGTGAAGACCTGGATTTTCCAGCAGGCCTGGGGCCGTTGATCTCGCTCTTGTGATCTGGCGAGATCCGGCCATGAATGGTGTGAATGGGTTTTAATGTTTTTAATGTTTTTAATTTTTAAGTGTTTTTATAGTGATTTTTTGAGTGTATTGTGAGCCGCCTTGGGTCTTCGGAGAGAGGCGGCATATAAATTGAATAAATAAAATAAATAAATAAATAAACCCCATCAGACCTCGGCTCTTCCCTAGAGAATTTGCCACGGCTTTGCTCTTGGGCACACAATGAGCCTTGGTGGCGCAGCGGACTAAAATGCTGTTAAAATAGCACTTAGCTGCCAGCTGCCTGCAATTACTGCGACTTCAAATCTCACCAGGCTCAAGGTTGACTCAGCCTTCCATCCTCCCGAGGTAGGTAAAATGAGGACCCGGATTGTGGGGGCAATAAGATGACTTTGTATAAAAAAAGAACACCGCTTAGGGGGGGGGGCGCGAAAGCCCTACTAAGCAGGTATATACAAAAGTATGAAGGCTATTGCTTAACGCATTGTAAGCCGCCCTGAGTCTCCGGAGAAGGGCGGCATATAAAGCGAATCAATAATAATAATAAACAATGTCCGTGGAAACCAGGGCCATGGCGTTAGTGCAAATAGTGAGTAAGCGCCCTGTTCCCTCTCTAGCTCCGCCAGGCGTGCCAAGACGTCTAGGCACTACGACGTGGCTCAAAAAGTGAGGTAAGGCCGATCTTCAGGATCACGTCCAGGTGCCGGTGTTTGAGGTTCCGCACCCACATCTTGTCGTTAAGAGGAACACGGTGGGGAGTCGAAGGCCTGTCTTTTGACCCATTCCTCTTTTCCTTTCTTTCCTTCTGTCCGTGCACACCCTCCACTCTTCTCTCTCTCCCCTCCCAAACCCAGGTCTAACCATCGGGAAAACCTGGGGGAAATTGATCTGAACCGAAACGTCTTGCCAGAGAACGCACAAGACCCTGTCACACCCGATGCACACAAGTAGGTGGCTGGGTTTAGAGGTATTATTTCTCCTCCTCCTCCTCCTCCTCCTCCTCCTCCTCCTCCTCCTCCTCCTCCTCCTCCTCCTTTCTCCTTCTCCTCCTCCTCCTCCTCTTATTCTTCTTCCTCCTTGTCCTCTTCATCCCTCCTCCTCCTCCTCTTCTTCTTCTCCTCCTCCTCCTCCTCCTCCTCTCCTCCTCCTCCTCCTCCTCTTCCTCCTCCTCCTCTTATTCTTCTTCCTCCTTGTCCTCCTCACCCCTTCTCCTCCTCCTCCTCCTCTTCCTCCTCCTCCTCCTCTTCTCCTCCTCCTCCTCCTCCTCCTCTTCTCCTCCTCCTCCTCCTCTTCCTCTTCTTCTTCTTCCTCCTTGTCCTCCTCATCCCTCCTCCTCCTCCTCCTCTTCTTCTTCTCCTCCTCCTCCTCTTCTCCTCCTCCTCCTCGTCCTCCTCTTCCTCCTCCTCCTCCTCTTCTTCTTTTTTTCTACTCAGGATCTGGGTGTTTGGGTGATCTGGGGGCACGTAACATGGGAGGCCGGTTGTAATTAAAAAGGCTTGTCATCTGCCGGGAAGGCAGGAAGAAGTCAATAAGTTTGTAAAATCCATTCGGAAAGCTGTACAGGTAGGCTTTGGCTTACGACGGCTGTTCAAAGTTGCAACGCCGCTGAAAAAAAGCAACTTCTGATTAATTTTTTCACACTTACGACCGTTCTAGCATCTCCAGGGTCAGGTGATCAAAATTCGGACGCTCGGCAATTGACTCGTATTTATGACGATTGCAGCGTCCCGCCTGTGTGTGTGTGTAATGTTTTACACACTTTTGCGACCTTCTGACAAGCCAATTCGATGGGGGAGCCAGATTCACTGAACGACAAGTTTTGTCTTATTCAGCAACCGCTGTGATTCACTTAACGGTGGCAAGAAAAGTCGTAAAATGGGGGGCAAAACTCACTTAAGAAACGTTGCACTCAGCAACAGAAATTCTGGGCTCCATTATGGTCGTAAATCGAGAACTACCTATATTTATTGCTGATGTAGTGCAGGACAGCCAAACGCAGTTTTTCCCTAATCTGGTATCTTCTAAGCGTGTTGGATGATAGATAGTTCTTGACTTACAACCATTTGTTTAGTGACGGGTACTGGAAAAAGTGACTTAAGATGGGTTTTCACACTTCCTTTTTTTTTTTTTTTGAGAATTTATTTTTAATTTTAAAACAAAAACAAAACATAAAACCATCATCTTTCCAAACAATTACAGACAGTGAGTCGAACGGTTCATATTCTGTTGTGCGTAAATCAGGGTGGATTTGATTTAAATCGAGTTGATTTAAATCATGATTTAAATCACTAGTAAAAAGGCTTGATTTAAATCAACTCGATTTAAATCACAATTTTTAAAGAGCAACTGTCATCGCTGCTACTCCTTTGACCCGCTGTTGACTCACCGAGAGTCCCAGTGTTGCAGAATATACAGCCTCATGATACATAACTAAGCTCCATTTCATGCTGAATAAACTAAATTATGTATGTATCTTAAATAGAAAACTATCTTACGATCGATTTTTACCCCAAAATTTTTTTATTAAAATAAATTCAATAAAAATAAAAAAAATCCGATTTAAATAAAAAAAATCCGATTTAAATAAAAAAATTGATTTTTTTGATTTTTTTAAAAAAATCATTGATTTTTATCCACCCCGCTACTTACTGACCTATCAAATTTTAAAACCGTTCAGCTCCCTCATAAAATTATTTATGTATCTTAAATAGAAAACTATCTTACGATAGATTTTTACCCCAAAAGTTTTTTATTAAAATAAATTCGATAAAAATTTTAAAAAATCCAATTTAAATAAAAAAAAATCTGATTTTTTTTTTGATTTTTTTAAAAAAATCATTGATTTTTATCCACCCTGGCGTAAATCCATTTCTAAAATACCAATTTATAACAGAAACTCATAACTTTTATAAAAAAAAAAATCAGATATTTTATTTTTACATCATATTTCATACTTCAGTTCCATGATTTATTATCTACCCATTGATAAAACAAATCCCATATCAAATAATATGGTTTCTCTTCCTGTTCTCTAATTTCAAATGTCAATTTACTCATTTCAGCACAGTCCATCATTTCCTTAATAATCTCATCATCAGGGTTTTCACATTTCCGACCACCGCCGTATCCCCACAGTATCATGTGATCAAAATTCAGACACCTAGGCAACTGACTCATTTTTATGATGGCCGCAGTATCCCGGGGTCATGTGATCCCCTTCTGCAATATTCTGCCCAACACAAATCAACGGGGAAGCCAGATTCACTTCACTTTCTCGTGGCAAGAAAGGTTGTAAAATGGAGCCAAACTCACTTAACCACTGTCTTGCTTAGCAATGGCAACTTTGAACTTAATTGTGGTCGTACATCAAGGACTACCTGTACAGCTCCCAGAATTGCTACCTTGCACGACCAGCAGTTAAGAATGCTGGTACTTGAGGTCCAAACTACCGTGGAAAACCCACTGTTCAAATACCATATTTTTCGGAGTATAAGATGCACTTTTTTTCCCCCCTAAAAGAGGGTGGAAACGTTGGTGCGTCTTATACATTGAATACAGCCATTTTTGGCCTCCCAAAGCCCCGCCTTGCTCATCAATTAAAATCTCAATTTTAATTGGTTTTAAATGGGATTTTAAATTTGGGGTTTTATAAATTGGGCCTATTATTTAATAATTTTAATTATTTTTAAATTTTGTCTGCCTTTGTGTTTTTAATTAGGCTGTACACCGCCCTGAGTCCTTCGGGAGAAGGGCGGTATAGAAATAAAATAAATAAATAAATAAATAAAATGCCTTCCGTCGTTCCCTGAAAACCCATCTTTTCCAGCAAGTCGGGTTGGCTTAAGAAGAAATTTTTAAATTCTTTTAATTAGTCTGTGATTTTTTAACTTTCGGGCCAAAATTTATATATATTTTTAAATGTTTTAATATTTGTATTCTATGTTTTTTATCTTGGCTGTACACCGCCCTGAGTCCTCAGGGAGAAGGGCGGTATATAAATTTTAAATACAAATACAAATACAAAAATCCCATTTTTGCAAAAAACGGGCCCGTTTTTCGCAAAAACAGGATGCGCAGAGTATTTGGGAGGCCTGCAGAATGGTCCTGGGAGCCGGGGAGGGCAAAAAACTTTTTTTTCTTACTTACCTGTTCAAAATCTTGGTGCCTCTTATACACCATCTCATAGTCCAAAAAATATGGTAAATCCTTGAATTTTTGGAGAGGAGTTTTGATTGGAACTGTTACCCTTCACAGCAGACACATCGTGTCCTGGGGAACGCCTAATGTTGGCTGCTACAGATAATCCTGTGTCATCTTTTTAAGGTAGAAAGCAAGTGTAGTTTTTAAGGTAGAAAGCAGTAAAAAGCTCTCTGGGCTTTTTGTAACAAGACGGAGAACAAGAACCTCTGAAGCTGTCTTGTGCTGTCTTGATGATCTATTGCAGAGATCTCCAAATTTGGCCACTTGGGGACTGCAACTCCCAGAATTCATGGTTGGCTGGCTGGGGAATTCTGGGAGTTGAAGTCTAGAAGTCTTAAAAGTTGAATTCTGGGAGTTGAAGTCCAGAAGTCTTAAAGTTGCCAAGTCTCAAAATTGAAGATGAATGGAGACCCCCTGATCTATCACAATGTCTCTTAACCTCAGCAACATTCAGTTGTGTGGACTTCAACTCCCAGAATTCCCCAGCCAGCTATGGGTAGAGGAAGAGGTCATCCTTCGTGCTGGTCTTCTGTTACAGTCCTTGAAATACATGCTGGCTCTAGGCAGCTCATTCATTTAAAGGCACCACTGTGTTTTCGTCTGCAGGACGAAAGGTCCCTCCACTAAAGGGAAGTCCACTGAGGAGCTGGAACTGGAGAAGATGCAGCAATTGCAACAGGAAGTGGCAGAACTGCGGAGGAAGAATGAGGAGTCTCTCAAAGTGGCCATTGCTGGACCAGGTGAGATCTTGGTGGGGTTGTGAGACCATTTCCTCTGAGAGTTAAGACTCTTTCCTTCTGGTTTAGATGAGAATGTTCTAGTAGAAGAGAATATTTGTAGCTCGGTTGAATTGTTTGGTCCTTGGAGCTCTCTGAGGTCGGTTGTTTTTCTTGTAGACATTTCATTACCCAACTAGATAATATTATCAGTGCTAGAAAGGAGGGGGATTTGTGGAATGAAGGAGGAGAAGCAGACTGTGGTATTCTTTTGGTGGTTTTCTTACAGACGATGATGTTATGAAACTGGGTATCATCATCAGTACTAGACCGGAATGGGGCTTGCAGAGAAGAGGAGTCCTCGGTGATCTCTGAGCTTGGTTGATTTCTTGTAGACGTTTCGTTTCCCAACATCTTTAGTGCTAGAAGGGAATGGGGTTTGCTCTCTCTTGATATACAGTTCCTTCTAGCACTGACGAAGTTCCCTAGTTGGGTAATGAAATGCCAGCAAGAAAATAACCAACTTCAGAGAGCACCAAGGACCCCACAGTTCTCCTCCTCCTCCTTCCTTGTAGCCCCAATGATGCTTCCTACCTTGATCATAATATGTCTGCAAGAAAACCCACAAGGACCCTACAGTCCTATCTACCCCCACCTCCTCTTCCTCTTCTTCCTCCTCAAACCTCCCTCCCTTCTAACACTGACTATGCTCCCAACCAGGGCCGGATTTAAATGAAAGAGGCCCTAGGCTATTCCACTTATGAGGCCCTTTCACCTATAGTGAAAGTGTAATTTTAATTTTGCTAACAATTTGAATGTAGGCCCCTCTTGATCTTGAGGCCCTAGGCTGAAGCCTAGTTAGCCTATAGGAAAATCCCTTCTCCGGAGACTCAGGGCGGCTTACAATGCGTTAAGCAATAGCCTTCATCCTTTTGTATATTTATACAAAGTCAGCCTATTGTCCCCACAATCTGGGTCCTCAATTTACCTACCTTAGAAAGGATGGAAGGCTGAGTCAACCTTGAGCCTTGGCGAGATTCAATCTTACTTTAATTGCAGACAGCTGGTGTTAATAACAGGGTGCTTTAGACCACTGTACTATCAAGGCTCTTCCCCTCCTCTTCTTCCTCCTCAAATCTCCCTCCCTTCCAGCACTGATCTTGTACCCTACCTGGGTGCATGAAACGTCTGGAAGAAAAGAGCCAAGCTCCACAGGCCACCAGGAACCTCATTTGCCTTTGAATTGCGGCCTGGCTGACTTGTCCGATCTCCTTTTTTTTCCCCCTGGTCAGGGCAACCCGTGAAGACGAGCAGTCACATTACCAAGCCCATGGATTTCCACTTCTGTACCGACGAGCGGCACAAGCAGCACGGCGAAAGCCAGCGGGGCGCAGAATACAAGGAGGTGGATTTCGTAGGCGCCCTAAGGAAACACCCACCGTCTCCGGTGAGAGCCTGCGGCTGGGGAGGATGGGTTGGAGGGCCACTTGGTCAGAGCTGCACATTGCAGAGGCGACGAAGGGCAGGAAAGCGTCAGGGTGGAAAACCAGAACAAGGCAGGTTTGAGTCCTGTGCGGGTAGTCCTCGACTTAACGACCACGACGGAGCCCCAAAATTTACGAAAGGGAGAGAGGTTTGTTCAGTCGTAAGTGTGAAAAGTGGTCATAAATCACTTTTCTCAGTGCCGTTATAAGTTCGAATATTTCCTAAATGAATGGTTGTCAAATTCCTTGACTTGCAACAGTTCATTTAGTGACCAAATTTACAACAGCGCTGAAAAAAGTGACTTAGGACCATTTTTCACACTTATGCCCATTGCAACATCCCTGTGGTCACGTGGTTTACATTCGGATGCTTGACAAGTGTCTCACCGTTGTGACGGGGTCCCGCGGTCCCCTTTTGGGGCCTTCTGAGGAGCAGAGTCAACGGGGAAGCCAGATTCACTTAACCTTGTTAGTAATTCAACAATCACACTTAATTCACTTAATTAATTCACTTAATGATGGCAAGAAAGATAGAAAAAATGGGTCAAAATTCACTTAACAACTGTCTCATTTGGTCACATAAATTTTGGACCTCAATTGTAGTCGCGAGTCGAGGCTACCTGTGCCTCTACTGCCCCTTCCCTGTGTCAAAATGGAAAATTGTAAACAAAACCCAAAAAACTCCTGTAACATGGCACCAAATTGCCTCCGTATATTCTTAAAATAAGAGGCAGCTTTTTACGGAGTTGTCTCTTCATTCCTCTCCCCCCCCCCCCCGCCCCCCTCCCCCTCTCTCGTCCCCTGATATTTTTTCGGCCTTCTCCGGAGTTACAGCCGGCTTAAATTTCACTTGCGTCGAGTTGGAAGAAGGGGGAAGATTGACAGGCCAATCTAATCGAAACGGCCGAGCGCCAAGCTTTGATTCCGATGGAAAAAATCCACTTGATCGAGCAATTACGATGCAGCTCCTCTTTTGCAGTCCCGGCTGTCCAAAGGACCCACAATCCCGAAGCCTTTCAACCTCTCCTGCGGGAAGAAACGCAAACTGGACGAGGCCCCCGCCCAATACGTCCCGTTGGCCCAACAGGTGGAAAACTTTCAGAAATGCACCTCTGAGAGGTACCAACTGCGGAGCCGGAAGGAAGAAGAAGGTAAGGCTAACGGGGTCTCATTTCTGCGGCCTCTGTCGTGGGCTGTTATGTGAGTCACTTGGGGTCTGGGGTTCTGAATGGTTTGGGAAGCGTTTGGTCTGAGCATGTTGTGGCCCCTTCGCGGCCTGTGCAGCTAGTAGCTGATTCCGACAGCGAGGAGGCTGGTGTGGTGCTGCTCCAGCAGCCTGTGCAGCTGGCACTCGAGTCGGACAGTGAGGAGGCTGTAGAAGATGTGGTGCCAGAGGCGGGGATTCAGCCAGGGCCTCCAGAACCTCCAGAAGCTTCCATAAGTGAAGAGGAAGAAGAGGAGGAGCCTCTTCTCGATGCACGGGTGCGCAGAGCTGCCAGAAAGCAGGAGTGGCTCCTCAGGAGGAGGTCTCCTCGAGAGTAAGGCTTGGGACTAATTGGCCACTCCCTTAGCCTATTTAAGGAGGGAGCCGAATGAAGCAATTTGCAGGGAAAAACTTTCTTTCACATACCTTCGTGCCTTGTTTTGCTTATCTTATCAGCTTCCTGCAAATTGCTTCTGGGCATTCTGCCAACCACAGTAAGCTTTCAGTTATTATTTTTTGAATTCTTGGCGGCTGTTAATGCAATTAATTAACAGCTGTTGTTGTAAAAGACTGGTTTATTCAGTAAACTAAAGTTTGAACGGACTTTGTGTGTGCTGCGTTCTTTGGGGTCCGTAGCTGGGGCAGAACAGAGTGTTGAACCCGTGCCCGGCTCAGCTTCCTTCCCTTTTGGGCTGGGATAGTTGGGTTTATTGGCAGAGCATCTTGAAACATCTGATGGGGGAAGGGATTAACTCGGGGGGGGTGTCTCCAAACCTGGAAACTTTTAAGACTTGTGGACTTCAACTCCCAGAATTCCTCAGCCAGCCACGCTTGTGCTATTCTTCATGATCTATTGCAGAGCTCTCCAAACTTGGCCACTTCTGGACTTCAACTCCCAGAATTCATGGTTGGCTGGCTGGGGAGAATTCTGGAAATTGAAGTCCAGAAGTCTTAAATTTGCTGAGTTAAGAGACTCCTGAAAGTGCTAAAGGGCCAGCTACTATCTTCGCATTGGGGAGAGGGGTGTGTTTTTCTTCCAAAGGTCAGCTGTGAATTGTGGGGAGGGGGTTTCCCCTTAAGTTGAGAGGACATAAAGTGATCCTCAACGACTAATTGAACCCACACTTTTGGTCGTCAGTTATGATGGTGGTAGATGGAGTCACCATATCACTGGGAATGATTTGACAAGTGTTTTTTTTTAGTGATTGTTAAGTGAACCTATTGCCCGTTTGGTCTGGTGGTAAGGTGCTAGAAAGTGGGAAAAAGTGAGTTCTAGTTCTGCCTTAGGCATGAAAGGTGGCTGGGTGACTTTGAGCCAATCACCAGGAGACAGAGAGTTCTAGTTCTGCCTTAGGCATGAAAGGTGGCTGGGTGACTTTGAGCCAATCACCAGGAGACAGGGAGTTCTAGTTCTACCTTAGGCATGAAAGGTGGCTGGGTGACTTTGGGTCAATCACCAGGAGACAGGGAGTTCTAGTCCTGCCTTAGGCATGAAAGCCGGCTGGGTGACTTTGAGCCAATCACCAGGAGACAGGGAGTTCTAGTTCTACTTTAGGCATGAAAGCTGGCTGGGTGATTTTTAACCAATCACTAGGAAACTGGGAGTTCTAGTTCTATGTTACAGCATAAAAGTTGATTGGGCCAATGACTGGGCGATGGTAAAACTGGCAATTGGTTGAGATTTGCCTATTTTATCCTTCGCTTGTGTCTAATTTCTGCCATCTTAAATTCAGCCCCACATTTGGGGCACAATCGTTTTTGGGGAATAAATTGAATTCATAAATCAATCAATAAAATTAGAATTAATTTCCTCCCCCACTGTGTATGTATAAAACTCCCAACGTTTAGCTTCGCCCTTTCGCTTTTTCGATGCCGATGGCCAGCCTCTGCTATTCTCTCTCGCCTTTCTTTGGCTCAGGTCCAAGCAGGCCTTTAAAACCCCGACTGACCAACCCCAAAACTCCCCGCCTGGAAACCAGGAGCCGCTTGAGACCCACCACCTGCAAGAGCGCAGCTGAGCTGGAAGACGAGGAAATCGCAAAGCTCCAACAGTGAGTTTTTTTTAAAAAAAAATATTTATTGCGTAAATTTAACTCCAGTGTGGCAAAGAAAACATTCAATCAGAATACGGCTGGAAGGGACCTTGGAGGTCTTCTAGTCCAACCCTGTGCCCAAGCAGCAGACTCTATACAATTTCAGACAAAAGGCTGTCCAGTCTCTTCTTAAAGACCTCCAGGGATGAAGCATCCACAACTAATGGTGGCAAGTAGTTCCACTGGTTAATTGTTCTCACTGTCTGTAAATTTCTCCTTAATTCCAAGTTGCCTCTCTCCTCTCCATCCATTTTTTCTTCTCCTGTCCTCTGGTGCTTTGGAAAATAGCTTGACTCCCTTCCTCCTCTCTGGGGCAGCCCCTCCAATAATGGAAGATGCTCTCCTGTCTCCCCTGGTCCTTCTCTTCACTAGACTAGCCAGGCCCAGTTCCTGCAACTGTTCATCGTATGTTTTAGCATCCAGGCCTGCTTTGATCATCTTAGAAAGAGTCAGATGAACAGAGTTGGAGGGAACCTTGTAGGTCATCTAGTCCAACCCCCCACCTAAGCAGGAGACCCAATTCTGACAGATGGCAGTCCAGTCTCTTCTTGAGAGCTTCCAGTGATGAAGCTCCCACAACTTCTGAAGGCAACTCCTGTTCCATCAGTTGATTGTTCTCACTGTCAGAAAATTCCTCCTTATTTCCAGGTTAAATCTCTCCTTGATCAGTTTCCATCCATTATTCCTTGTCTGGCCTTCGGGTGCTTTGGAAAACAGCTTGATCCCCTTCCTCCTCTCTGTGGCAGCCCCTCCAATAATGGAAGATGCTCTCCTGTCTCCCCTGGTCCTTCTCTTCACCAGACTAGCCAGGCCCAGTTCCTGCAACCGTTCATCCTATGTTTTAGCCTCCAGTCCCCTAATCATCCTGGTTGCTCTTCTCTGCACTCTTTCTAGAGTCTCAAGATATTTTTTCTAGTGTGGTGACCAAAACTGGATGCAGTACTCTAGGTGTGGTCTTACTAAGGCTTTATAGAGTGGTATTAGTACCTCCCTTGATCTTGATTGTATCCCTCTCTTAATGCAACTTCAGATTGCATTGGCTTTTTTGGCTGTTGCTGCACACAGCTGACTCCTATTTAACTTGTTGTCCACTAATCCTATTATATCAGTAAATTCTGGTTAAGTTCTGATTTCTAGCATAGCAGAGGCCTTCCTACATACACTTCTCAAGCTTCAGCCTAGCTCTTGAGATTAGAAATATCGTCACCGTATTTTCTTCACAGGCGAGCACAGAGGTCTTCAAACTTGGCAGCTTTAAGACTTGTGGACTTCAACTCCCAGAATTCTCCAGCCAGCATAGCATAGAGAACAATAGGCTCCGTTTTCTACACTTTGAATAAGTTTACTCTCAGCTAATGGACTGGATTTTTTTTTTTTTTTTTTGCAAAAAAAAATATTTTTAAACAAACAAAACATAAAACATCCTTCATCCATTACAATTTCAAGCAGTGTGTCGATCGGTTACAAATCCCTTGTGCTTCTTCCCCATAATCATATTTTACTAATTATCTAATTTCTCTTATTATCAACCTGATATATATCTTTATATCATTATTCTCATTTGTCATTTATTTAGCAACAGCATTATCATTCCAAAAAAATAATAATTTTCACATATTATATTCTAACATTCATTTTATATTTCTTATTTTATTTCCCTGTTTTATTATCTAGCCATTGGTAAAATAAATCCCATGTCTTATAATACTGTTTATCTTCTTGTTCTCTAATTGGGAAAATTTACAATTATCAGTGATAGGAAGGATATCAACTATTAAGATGAATATATTGCCGGTAGCGGAAATTTTGAGTAGTTCGGAGAACCGGTAGTAAAAGTTCTGACTGCCCCCGCCCCCATCTATTCTGTGCCTCCCGGGTCCCAGCTGATTGGGAGGAAATGGGGATTTTGAAGTAACCTTCCCTTGGAGTGGGGTGGGAATGGAGATTTTACAGTATCCTTCCACTGTCACGCCCGCCAAGCCATGCCATGCCACGTCCGCCAAGCCACGCTCACAGAACCAGTAGTAAAAAATTTTGAAACCCACCCACTGGACTGGATCCCCATGTCCAGTGCCCTGAACCACAGACTACCTGACTTTATCCTGGAGAACCTCACTTGCCTGCTCCCTCCCTCCCGTCCGTCCCAACAGGTACCGGTTCAAAGCTCAGGAGCTCAACCACCGCATCTTGGAGGGCGGCCCCCTCCTGCCCAAGAAGCCCCAGGTGAAAGAGCTGACCAAGCCCATCGGCTTCAACCTGGAAATCGAGAAGCGGATTCAGGAGCGAGAGACCAAAAAGGTCCAGGAAGAGGAGCACTTCGAGTTCCATTCGAGGCCGTGCCCCACCCGGATCTTGGAAGACGTGGTGGTAATTAAAATGCTTTTGAAGCCCACCCCTGCCTTCTGCATGTCACTGGTGTGTTTGTTGTATAAACTATATGCTGTGTTTCCCCAAAAATAAGACCCATCCCGGAAACAAGCCCTATCCCAAAAATAAGCCCGGGGGAAATGGGAGTGGCTTCTTGGCACAGCGCAGATACCTGTAAGTACGAGCGTGGAGGCAGAGGTCGGGTGGAGAGACAGGTGATCTGGATGTGCTGTCCAGCTGCCTGCCTCGCGGGAGGCTTGTCTGGTGCCACTGGCAGCAGGGAGAGGCAGAGGCAAGGGGGAGAGGCGATCCCAACACGCCACTCACTCCATCCCACTGTCTCTCGGCTTGCCTGCGGCTGTGTCGTGATCACCTGTCTCTCTCCCCCCCCCGCAGTGCCTCTGCCTCCGCCTGCTGTTGCTGCGCGAGCCTCCCGCAAGTCAGGCAGCCACGCAGCACATCCGTATCGCCTGTCTTCTCCACTCCCCCATCCCCCTGCCTCCATGTGGTATTTGCACTGTGCCTAGGAGGCCGAGGCATGATGAGAGCTTGGTCCTTTGCAGCTGCGGGCAAGCAGACAGTGGGACAGAGAGGGCGGGGCCAACAGCTGCGCTCCCACTTTGGTCGGCTCCCGCACTCGCCGCCTCCTTGCACTGAAAAAAAAAAATAAAACCTCCCCCAAAATAAGCCCGAGTGCTTATTTTCAAGCCCAAACGAAAATAAGACCAGTGGCAACTCAAAGATGCCTTAATTAAGGCATCTTTTGGAAACTTCACAACCAGGTCTTATTTTCGGGAAAACACAGTACGCTTGGGATCCCCCCGGTCACTTGACTGGACAGAATGGGGAGAGATCCTCGGAAGGCAAAATGATCTGTTTCCAAGAAGAACAGAATCTTCGTCTGATAGAGGCTTAAACTGAGGTGGTCGGGGCTTCATTGTAGAAAGATCTGCCCATCCCGTCTCCTTTTGTGCCGAGAGACGGTGGCTGGTCTCCGGCGAGGAATTCGATGCGCTTGGTGGGACCCTGGCTGGGTCTTCTCCGCCCTGTGGCCTAACCAGGCAGACTTCCCATGGCTTCCTCTCCTTCCTCTCTTGCAGGGTGTTCCAGAGAAGAAGCAGCTTCCCATCACAATCCCCCAGTCCCCGGCATTTGCCTTGAAGAACAAAGTGGGCGCCCTGGTTAGAGAGGAACAGAAAGAAAAGGTACCGGTTGGGCATCGGGTGTGGTCGGGCACGCCGGGGTACTTTCCGCTCATGGTTTCTCCCTCCAGGCTGTTCTGAAACCCCGGTTGAACTCCTGGGCTGAGGAGGTTTTATGAAGCTTCCCCGGACTGGTATTGGCACTGAAAACTGATTTTCACTCCCCATCTTAACAAATCCCCCTCCCTTCTAGAACTGATGATGTTCCCTAGTTGGGTCATGAAACGTCTGCAAGAACATAACCAAGCTCAGAGAACACCAAGGATTCCATAGCCTTCCTTCTCTCCTCCTTCTCTTTCTCCTCCTCCTTCCTTCCTTCCTTCCTTTCCACAAACATCAAACACCACTCCCTTCTACACGGATGATGTTATGTAGTTGGGTAATGAAATTTCTGCAGGAAAAAAACAACCTAGCTCAGGAAGCACCGAGGACCCCATGGTCGTCCTCCTCCTCCTCTCCTCCCGTTTTCCTTCTCCACTCTGCACACCCCACTCCTTTCTATCGCTGCTGATGTTGCCTAGTTGGATCCTGAAACATTTGTAAGAAACCCACCAAGCTCGAACAGCACTTAAGGGCCCCACAGTCACCTCTTCCCCCTCCACGTCTCCTCCTCCTCCTCCTCTCCACAAACCCCACCCCCTTCTGGCACTGATGATGTTCCCTAGTTGGTTCATGAAACGTCTGTAAGAAAACCACCAAGCTCAGAGAGCACCAAGGACCCCACAGTCCTCCTCTCAGCAAACCTCATTCCCTCCTATTTATTTTATTTTATTTTATTTTATTTTATTTTATTTTATTTTATTTTATTTTATTTTATTTTATTTTATTATTTTATTTTATTTTATTTTATTTTATTTTATTTTATTTTATTTTATTTTATTTTATTTTATTTTATTTCTATACTGCCCTTCTCCTGAAGGACTAAAACCGATAATGTTACCTAGCTGGGTTATGAAATGTCTGCAGGAAAACCACCAAGCTCAGAGAGCGCCAAAGATCATTCTCCTTTCATCCTGATGCCCGTTGCAGCACTCCCATGGTCCCCTGAACAAAATCTGGGCATTTGGCAACCAGGATCTATTTGCAACGGTTGGACCGTCCCAGTGTCATGTGATCACCCAGCTGTACATCTCCACCCCGGATCACCCCAACGATGCCCTTGAAGTGATGTCCCGGTGCCTGGAGGCCGTACGGATCTGGATGGGGAGGAACAAGCTCAGGCTCAACCCATCCAAGACTGAGTGGCTGTGGTTTCCGACGTCCCGATATAGTCAGTTGACGCCATCACTGACTATTGGGGGCGAATCATTGGCCCCCACAGAGAGGGCTCGCAACTTGGGCGTCCTCCTGGACTCACGGCTGTCTTTAGAAGAGCACTTGACGGCCGTGACCGGGAGGATTTTTCATCAGGTTCGCCTGATTCGCCAGTTGCGTCCCTTTCTGGATCGGGACTCTTTACGCACGGTCACTCATGCCCTTGTCACCTCCCGCCTGGACTATTGCAACGCTCTCTACATGGGGCTCCCCTTGAGGAGCACCCGGAGGCTCCAACTGGCGCAGAGTGCGGCCGCGCGGGTGGTAATGGGAGCGACATGGCGTTCCCATGTAACACCTCTCCTGCGCGAGCTGCACTGGCTCCCGGTGGTCTTCCGGGTGCGCTTCAAGGTTTTGGTTACCACCTTTAAAGCGCTCCATGGCTTAGGACCCGGGTACTTGCGGGACCGCCTACTACCACCAATAGCCTCCCACCGGCCGGTACGCTCCCATAGAGAGGGGCTCCTCCGGGTGCCGTCAGCCAAACAATGCCGACTGGCGGCCCCCAGGGGGAGAGCCTTCTCTGTGGGGGCACCTACTATCTGGAACGAGCTCCCCCCAGAGATACGGAGGATCCCGGATCTGCGCACCTTCCGCCGCGCCTTAAAGACCTTACTATTTCACCAGGCCGGCCTGGCCTAATTTTCCCCCTCTTTTATAAAAGATTTTTAAAATTTTAAATATTTTTTAGTATTTATATATTCAATTTTAAATTGGTTTTAAAAGTTTGGGGTTTTAAATTTGTCGGGGCCAAAATTATTTAATTTGATTTTATTCTATTTTTTAAATTTTGTATTGTATGTGTTTTTATTGTTTGGCTGTGCACCGCCCTGAGTCCTTCGGGAGTAGGGCGGTATAGAAATCTAATAAATAATAATAATAATAATAATAATCACCATTGGCAACCTTCCCAGCCAGCTTCCGACGTGCAAAGTCGACAGGGGATTTATATGCCGCCCTGAGTCTTTGGAGAAAGGCGGCATATAAATTGAACTAATGAATAAATTCAGTTAGTAACCAGAAGACCCCAGCAAGAAAGATCATAAAATCAGGGGTGACTCATTGAAAACGACCTGCCTGCAAGGGAAATTCTGGTGCCGGTTTCGGTCATAAATTGAGCACCAGCTGTACTGGGCCTGGCTCCAACTGGTGCAAAATGCGGCCGCGCGGGGGATTATGGGAGTGAGGGGCCGCTCCCATGTGACACCTCTCCTGCGTGAGCTGCATTGGCTTCCAGTGGTCTTCCGGGTGCGCTTCAAGGTGTTGGTCACCACCTTTAAAGCGCTCCATGGCATAGGACCTGGGTATTTGCGGGACCGCCTTCTGCCGCCGATAGCCTCCCACCGACCAGTATGCTCGCACAGAGTGGGCCTCCTCAGGGTGCCGTCGGCCAGACAATGTCGGCTGGTGACCCCTAGGGGGAGAACCTTCTCTGTGGTGGCACCTGCCCTCTGGAACGATTTGCCCCCGGAGATCCGAAGGATATCGGCTCTCCGGGTCTTTCGCCGTGCCCTAAAAACTTTTCTTTTCCATCAAGCAGGGCTGGCGTGAAACCCCTCCCCCCCCCCCCTTTTTAGTCTTTTTAGCTTTTTAAATTGTCAAATGGGTTTTAGTTTTCAATGTTTTAAATTTTTGGGCCACAGTTTTAAATTTTGTATTGATATGTGTTTTAGTTCTGGCTGTGCACTGCCCTGAGTCCACTTGGAGAAGGGCGGGATATAAATTGAATAGATTAATTAATTAATGAACCTGCCCATGCCAAACTGGTGTCCCTGGGTCTCCCCCAACAGTGGCCTGTGATTCTCTCCCCTCTTTTTTCTTGCGAGCTGCTGATGCCGGGGTCTCTTGCAGGTGGAGGAAGTGGCCCACGTGATTAAAGCGAAGCCGATGCCCCACCCAGGCGTCCCCTTCAAACCCAAAGCCGCAGAGCCGAGGCTGGTGGAAAGCTGCCCGTTCTCTTTTGACGCCCGGGACAAGGAGCGGCTGCTTCAAAAAGAGAAAAAAATGGAAGAGCTGCAGAAGGAGGAGGTAGGTGCCAATTAAAGCGGTACTTCCTTTTTACTATTTCTTTGAGAAATTCATTGGCTGCCTGTCTTGCCATGGGTATATAATTAAAAGAAAAAGAAAAATGAAAGGAGTGTAAACAGAACAGATGTAAAATAATAGAACGATAAAATCAGCAATGACAAGAAGACTTCACGACCATAATTGAGCCCAAAATCTCTGATGCAAAATGAGGGAGTTGTTGAGTTTTGCCCCATTTTAGGACCGTTCTTGCCACAGTTGTTAAGTGAATCACTCCAGTTGTTAAATTGTTAACACGGTTATAACATGAATTGGGCTCCCCCATTGACGTTGAGTTAGACTTAGAACAACGTTCTTGTCACTTTAAATCTACAGTAACCGGCATTCATTAAAATGAAATTTCGTTGCGCACAGCTCTCAAAGGGTCATCACATCCAATATATACTACGTAAACATGACAAATAAATAAATACAAAATTATGCCTATACCCACATACATTATATGACACAGAGAAACAACAGTAGTTCAGATGTATACATGTGCATGGCAAGAGAAATGAATCTTGCAAGATTACCAGGCGGATGGCATTGGGATCAAAGCTACTACAGAATCTGGTAGTCCTGCTAGAAATACTTTGGAACCCCCTCCCGGAGGGAAGCAACAGAAACACATCGTAAAGAGGGTTTGTGGGGTCTCTAACAATGCTTTGAGCTCTAAGCACCTAGTGCTTATAAGCAGTATCCTGAATAATAGGAAGCAAGCTTCCTATAATCTCTGCTGTCCTCATCACTCTCTGTAGGGACTTTCTATCTAAAGCACTGATGCCACCAAACCAAACAGGGATGCAGTTTGCTAAAACGCTCCCAATCGTGCCTCTGTAAAAAGCGGCCAGGACTAGTCCTCCTTAGCCATGAAAGCCGATTGGGCGACCCTTGGCCAATCACTAGGAGACGGTGATTTCTAGTCCCGCCTTAGGCATGAAAGATGACTGAGTGACCTTCCGTCAGTCTCCAGGAGATGGAGAGTTCTAGTCCCACCTAAGGCACGAAAACCAACTGGGTGACTTTGAGCCAAGTTTTTCTCTCTCTCTCTCAGCCTGGCCCACCTCACAGGGTTGTTGTTGTGGGGAAAATAGGAGGAGGAAGCTATGTTGGATATGTTCGCCACCTTGAATTATTTGAAAAACATAATGGCAGAATATAAACAAATAAATTACTTGAAATAACTGAAGTGGACATCTCTTCTGCCCCAGCTACAGACCCCAAAGAACGCAGCACACACAAAGTCTGTACAAACCTTAGTTTACTAAAATAAAATCAGGTTTTTTTTCAAAACAAAGGCTGTTAAATAAACTTTCTGAACAGCCTATAAGAAACCAAAGATAAAGTAATCTTACTAAGGTTGGCAAAAAGCCCAGAAGCAATTTGCAGAGAATCCAGACGCGAAGTAGAGTGAACTAAAGTTGTTCCCTACAAATTGCTTCAGTCAGCGTTCCTCCTTAAATAGGCTAAGGGAGTGGCCAATTAGCCCCAAGCCTTACTCTCGAGGAGACCTCCTCCTGAGGAGCCACTCCGGCCTTTTGGCAGCTCTGCGCGCCCGTGCATCGAGAAGAGGCTCCTCCTCTTCCTCCTCTTCACTTAAAGGAGCTTCTGAAGGCCCTGGCGGAATCCCCGCCTCTGGCACCACATCTTCTCCAGCCTCCTCACTGTCCGACTCGAGTGCCAGCTGCACAGGCTGTTAGCGCAGCACCACACCAGCCTCCTCGCTGTCAGAATCAGCTACAATCCGCACAGGCCGCGTACGGGACACAACAACAACAGACAAAATCAGGAGGAAAACCATTGCAGCCGAAAGGTGCTTTTTCAAGAGGCAACTGCACTTTCTTGGTTTTTTTTCTTTTGAAGACATTTCGCTTCTCATCCAAGAAGCTTCTTCAGCTCTGACTGGATGGTGTGTGTGTGTGTGGGGGAATGAAAGTCTGCAAGGAGTATAAATCCTTCCATGCCCCACCATCCAGTCAGAGCTGAAGAAGCTTCAGAAACGAAACGTCTCCGAGGAAAAACCAGAAAGCCCAGTTGCCTCTTGAAAAAAAAAAAAAAAAGCACTTTTTGGGGACAACCGTGACTGAGAATGGATGGCCGGGAATCTCCCTAGGCATTGCAGCCTCTTATGAACGCTTCTCTCGGGCTCCCCATCCACTCAACCCGCGGCCCTGAGGCCAAGCTTGGATTCTCGCACATTTACAGTAAGGGATGCCTCTTTTCTCTTGGGCTACAAAAGCACTCGGACTATTTGCACTCGCCGCCAAATCTCTAAAAGTGATGTTTGACACATCAGGAAGGACGTCTCTGACCTCTCCGGTCTGGCATTCTCGAAGGAGGCTCCTTTCCCTCCCGGCCCTGACACCTGCGTTTCCTGTGGCTCTTTCAACACTTGTACTGCCGAGAGGTCTTGGCTCCCGAGAACGGCTCCTGCCGGTTTTCCAAAATGTCAGGCGATAAGCGAGCCCCAATCTGGACACGGAGTGCGAGTTCCATTATCAGCCGAGGTGGAGACTTTCCTTTCCTAGTGGCTTCTGGTCTGGCTGCCAGAGAAATAAAGTGCATTACAAACTTTTTGTCACACTTCAGCATAATAATAATAATAATAATACATAATACATAATAATATAATATAATATAATAATAATAATAATAAAACAACGCCATGACCGTGTTGCTAAAATCATTCACTGGAAATTGTGTCAGAAGTTTGGATTTGAGTACAGCAAAAACCACTGGGAACATCAGGTTGAGAAAGTTTTAGAGAATGAGAAACTCAAGATCTTGTGGGACTTTAGGATTCAGACTGACAGGCACTTGGTCCACAACACACCTGACATAACAATAGTTGAAAAAGAAAAAAGTATGGTTCATTGACATTGCAATACCTGGTGATGCACGAATTGAAGATAAGCAGCAAGAAAAAAATCACAAAGTACCGGGACTTGCAAATTGAAGTTGAGCGACTGTAGAAAAAGAAATCGTGTGTTGTCCCGATTGTAATTGGAGCCCTTGGAGCAATACCCAAAGGGCTACCCCGCTATTCAGAAATTCTAAATTTGCCGGACTTGAACATTTTGACTCTACAAAAAACCACCTTACTCGGAACAGCTTACATCCTCCGACGATACCTTAACAGTTCCTAGGTCCTTGGTTAGGACTCGAGCTGCTGAGCTATTAACCAGCCTCAAAGGCTGTGAATCTCACTAAAGATTAACCAATAAATAATAATAATAATAATAATAATAATAATAATAATAATAATAATAATAATAATAATAATAATAATAATAATTTTATTTCTATACCGCCCTTCTCCCAAAGGACTCAGGGCGGTATACAGCCTATTAAAAACACAAAACAACATCAGTTAAAATAGTTTAAAATTATTAAATAAATTCGGCTAAATTTTAAAACCCCAGAAATTTAAAAACCCAATTTAAAATTGTTATGTTGATAGCCCAGCCTGGCGGAACAACAGGCTGAGTGCGCAACGAAACACCCGGAGGTCGGAGATCTTACGTATTTCCGGGGGCAGTTCATTCCACAGGGCTGGGGCTCCCACAGAGAAGGCCCTCCCCCTGGGTGTCGCCAGCACAAGACATGGTACAGTAAGAACCTCTGGTCACAACCACAATTCGCTTCATAACTTTGGTCGCAACCCGATTTGGTTGTGACCTGAACCTAATTTTGGGAAATTTTGGCGCTTACAAAAAAAAATAATAATAATGGCGGAGAAGGAGAAATCGGCTGCGGGGGAAAAAAAATGTGAATTTTTTTGGTCAGAACCCGATTTGGTCATAGTCAGATGCATTTGTGACCAGAGGTTCTACTGTATAGGGTTGGACTAGAAGACCTCCAAGGTCCCTTCCAGCTCCGTTCTGAATTGAAAAGCACACTGCTTTGTTGAGTCGCTCCCATACATCTGACATGTCCCATCGCTGTGTTCTTTAAAAGGACATGCAGGCCTGGGAATCTTCAGTATCTCGGTTTAGGATGTAACCAAACCATGATTCTCTCTTCCCAGCTGCACTGGGATGAAATTAGAATACGGAACAGTGATGGCTAACCTTTTTGCCGTCGTGTGTCAAAAGTGGGGGGAGTGCGGGGGGTTTGTGCGCGTGTGTGCCCACACCCATCATTCAATGCGCCCTGTCCCCCCGCACATGTGTGACCCCCCCCGCGCGCTCCGTCCACTTTTGGCACGGTGGGCCCGATAGGCCCATTTTTCGCCCTCCCCAGGCTCCAGAGACTTTCTAGGAGCCTGGGGAGGGTGAAAACTGCCTTCCCCATCCCCCCGGAGGCCCTCTGGAGGCTGGAAACAGCCTGTTTCCTGATTTCTGGTGGGCCCGGAAGGGCTGAAAATCAGCTGGCCAGCGTGCACATGCACGCTGGAGCTAAGCTAGGGCAACACTCGCGTGCCCACAGATACGGCTCCGCGTGCCACCTGTGGCACCCGTGCCATAGGTTCACCATCACAGACATAGAACATCATAGGGTTTGGAAGGGACCTTGGAGACCCTATACCAGGGCTGAAATGCTCCGAGGTCTGCTACCGGTTCGATTCGCTACCGGTTTGCTGCACACGTGCATGTACGGTCCGTGCCAAATGCACATCCATGCGCTTTGCACGCATGTGCACCATAGGCGCTGCCGCGCAGCACTGAGAACAGCCTTATGAAGCCTTTTCTAAGGTAAGAACAGCGAGGGAGGGGAAACAGCTGTGCCACGCAATTTAGATTCACTAGAAAGCAGGATTTCCTGCTTTCCTGTAAATTGCGCGGCACAGCTGATTGTCGGAAATACCAGTCTTTTATTACTAGCGGTTCGCCCGAACTGGTAGCATTTCACCCCTGCCCTATACCAGTGACGGTTAACCTTTTTGGTGACAAGTGCCCAAAGCACGCCCATGCAAATGCACACACAGGTGCCTGCACCCCCAAAATGCAATGCGAGTGCCCCCAGTGCATGCACCCAGGCCCCCCCTGTACATGGGCCCACCCCAATGCCTCATTTTGGTTTCCAGGTTGGCTCAGGAGGCTTTCCAGGCCCAAAACAGGGCGTGGGGGGCATGAGGCCCCTCCGTGCCCTGTTTTGGGCCTGGAAAGCCTCCTGCACCCCCTGTGCATGCGCCCCGCATATGCACAGCAGAGACCCAAAGACCAGCTGGCTGTCAGGAGGCGCGTACACATGCATGGTGGAGCTGGGCTGGGGCAACAGCTGGTGTGCCCACAGAGAGGCCTCTGCAAGCCACTTGTGGCACACGTGCCATAGCTTCGCCATCACGGCCCTATCCCATTTCAGACAAATGGCTGCCCAATCTCTTCTTAAAAACCTCCAGTGATGAAGCACCCACAACTTCCGAAGGCAACTTCTGTTCCACTGATTAATTGTTCGCATTATCAGGAAATTCCTCCTTAGTTCCAGATTACAGACAGTTTGTTTAGTGATTAATTACAACTGCAAGTTGTAGTGAAAGTTAGAACCGCATTGAAAAAAATGTGACCTACGGGCCGTTTTTCATGCTTACAACTTGTTGTAGCATCTCCATGATCACAGGATCAAAATTCAGACGCTCGGCACTGACTCGTATTTATGACGGTGGCAGTGTCGTGGGGTCATGCGATCCCCCTTTTGCAACCTTCCGGGAAGCAGAATCAATGAGGATTCGCTTAACAACCGCGTTACCCCTTTTAAGAACTGCAGTGATTCGCTTAACAAATGTAGCAAGGAAAAGTCATAAAACGGAACCCAAAATTCAGGTTGTCAAGTGAGAATTTTGTTCAGCAAATTTTGCCCCGTTGTACGGCCTTTCCGTGCCCCAGTTGTTCAGCGAATCACTGCCGTTCTTAAACTAGTCACCCGGTTGTTAAGTGAATCCGGCTTCCCTCTTGACATTGCTGGTCATAAACGTGAATCAGTTGTCAATCATCGGAATGTAAATCACGTGACCCTGGTGATGCTGCCACGGTCGTAAGCGTGAAAAAGGGGTCGTAAGTCCCTTTTTCCCCCCAGTGCCCTTGTAACTTCGAACGGTCGCTAAGTGAAGTGTTGTAAGCCGAGGACTTCCTGTAATCAGCGGAAGGGCTTGCCTGCCAAAGCTTGTAGGGGCCCCATCCTAGCAGTGCTTCGAAAGCAGCCCCTGGCCCAAAGCCAGCGGCCAGCAGCCTGACTCACCAGGTGCGTTTCCTGCCTGCAGGTGCCCAAGTTCAAAGCCCACCCCCTGCCTCATTTTGACCAAATCAATCTGCCCGAGAAGAAAGTCAAGAGCGCCACGAAGCCGGAACCTTTCCAACTAGCCATCGACGCCCGCGGAGCTGTCCGGCAGGAGATGTGGCAGCAGCAGGTAAGAGGGCAGTGGCGGGGTGTGTGTGTGTGTGTGTGCCGGGATCTGATTGGACTTGAAGGACAACAAAAGCCTGTGGTACAGTAGACTAAAGCATTGTGATTAACACCAGCTGCCTGCAATTACTGCGAGTTCGAATCTCCCCAGGCTCAAGGTTGACTCAGCCTTCCATCCTTTCTAAGGTAGGTTAAATGAGGACCCAGTTTGTGGGGGCAATAAGCTGACTTTGTATAAAATATACAAAAGGATGAAGGCTATTGCTTAACGCACTGTAAGCCGCCCTGAGTCTCCGGAGAAGGGCGGCATATAAATTAAAGCAAAAAAAAAAAAGAAAGAAAGAAAAGAAAAGAAAAAATCCAAAACTCAATGCAGCCCCCTTTTCCTGGCTTTGGATGGTGGCTCCGAAGCGGCTCTCGGAACATGGGAACGTGAGCAATCAGGTTTTCCTCTCCCGAAAGAGTTTTCCAATTCTCTTTTCCTGCCGAGGAAAAAAATGCGAGCTGCCTGGTTTATTTTTCCTTAACAAGGGGAAGATGAGTACATAAGTAGGCCTGGGGTTTTTGGTGGTCCCTGTGCTCATTTTCTTGCAGACATTTCGTTACCCGACTAGGTTACATCATCAGCTTTAGAGGGAGTGGGGTTTTCTCTTTGTTTATATACCCTGGCTTAGCCCACTCTTTTCTAGCACGGATGGTGTTCCCTAGTTGGGTCATGAAACGTCTACAAAGAAACCTTAGAGAGCCCCAAGTGCCCCTTAATCCTCCTCCTCCTCCTCCTCCTGAACCCTTCCTTAACCCTGAACCCTTCCTTCCTTCTCGCACTGACGACGTTCCCTAGTTGGGTCATGAAAGGCCTGCAAGAAGACAACCAAGCTCAGAGAGCACCATCGACCTTGCAGTCTTCCTCCTCCTCCTCCTCCTCCTCCTCCTCCTCCTCCTCCTCCTCCTCCTCCTCCTCCTCCTCCTCCCTTCTAGCACTGATGATGTTCCCTAGTTGGGTCATGAAACGTCTCCAAAAAGACAACCAAAGACCCACAGTTGTCGTCGTCCTTTCTGCAAACTCCCCTTCTAGCACTGATGATGTTCCCTAGTTGGGTCATGAAAAGCCTGCAAAGAAGACAACCAAGCTCAGAGAGCACCATCGGCTTGGCAACTGTCTCGCTCAGCGGCCAAAATTTGGGGCTCCCTTGTGGTCATAAATCAAGGACTGCCTGAATTTTTCTTCCATTGGATGTCTCCTTTAAACCCCCCCCCCCCCCCCATCACTCTCCGCAGCTGAAGGAGGAGATGAGGCGCCAGAAAGAAGCCGCCGTCTTCAAAGCGCAATCCAGCCAGGTGTTACACCAGGAACCTTTCCTTCCCAAGAAGGACAGCAAGCTGGTTTCAGGTGAGGCGTCTTCAGGTGTGGCCCACCTAATGCGGCCTGAAGGTTTTTCAAGTTTAACGAATGGAATGGAATGGAATAGAATAGAATGCAGAATATAATATATAATGTGGAATGGAATGGAATGCAGAACAACAGAACAGAACAGAACAGAATAGAATAGAATAGAATAGAATAGAATAGAATAGAATAGAATAGAATAGAATAGAATGCAGAATATAATATATAATGTGAATGGAATGGAATGCAGAACAGAACAGAACAACAGAATAGAATAGAATAGAATAGAATAGAATGCAGAATATAATATATAATGTGGAAGGGAATGGAATGCAGAACAGAACAGAACAACAGAACAGAATAGAATAGAATGCAGAATATAATATATAATGTGGAATGGAATGGAATGCAGAACAGAACAGAACAACAGAATAGAATAGAATAGAATAGAATAGAATAGAATAGAATAGAATAGAATAGAATAGAATAGAATAGAATAGAATAGAATGCAGAATATAATATATAATGTGGAAGGGAATGGAATGCAGAATAGAATAGAATAGAATAGAATAGAATGCAGAATATAATATATAATGTGGAATGGAATGGAATGCAGAACAGAACAGAACAACAGAACAGAATAGAATAGAATGCAGAATATAATATATAATGTGGAATGGAATGGAATGCAGAACAGAACAGAACAACAGAATAGAATAGAATAGAATAGAATAGAATAGAATAGAATAGAATAGAATGCAGAATATAATATATAATGTGGAATGGAATGGAATGCAGAACAGAACAGAACAACAGAATAGAATAGAATAGAATAGAATAGAATAGAATAGAATAGAATAGAATAGAATAGAATAGAATAGAATGCAGAATATAATATATAATGTGGAATGGAATGGAATGCAGAACAGAACAGAACAACAGAACAGAATAGAATAGAATGCAGAATATAATATATAATGTGGAATGGAATGGAATGCAGAACAGAACAGAACAACAGAATAGAATAGAATAGAATAGAATGCAGAATATAATATATAATGTGGAATGGAATGGAATGCAGAACAGAACAGAACAACAGAACAGAATAGAATAGAATGCAGAATATAATATATAATGTGGAATGGAATGGAATGCAGAACAGAACAGAACAACAGAATAGAATAGAATAGAATAGAATAGAATAGAATAGAATAGAATAGAATGCAGAATATAATATATAATGTGGAATGGAATGGAATGCAGAACAGAACAGAACAACAGAACAGAATAGAATAGAATGCAGAATATAATATATAATGTGGAATGGAATGGAATGCAGAACAGAACAGAACAACAGAATAGAATAGAATAGAATAGAATAGAATAGAATAGAATAGAATAGAATAGAATGCAGAATATAATATATAATGTGGAATGGAATGGAATGCAGAACAGAACAGAACAACAGAATAGAATAGAATAGAATAGAATAGAATAGAATAGAATAGAATGCAGAATATAATATATAATGTGGAATGGAATGGAATGCAGAACAGAACAGAACAACAGAATAGAATAGAATAGAATAGAATAGAATAGAATAGAATAGAATAGAAATAGAATGCAGAATATAATATATAATGTGGAAGGGAATGGAATGGAATGGAATGCAGAATAGAATTAGAATAGAATAGAATAGAATAGAATAGAATCCAATTATTTATTGGCCAAGTGTGATTGGACACACAAGGAATTTGTCTTCGGTGCATAAGCTCTCAGTGTACATAAAAAATACATTCATCAAGAATCATAAGATACAACACTTAATGATAGTCATAGGATACTAAATAAGCAACCAGTCATACTAGGAAACTAAATAAAACAATATAAATTGTAAAGATACAGGCAAGAAGGTTATAGTCAAAAGTGGGAGGAGATAGGAAATAGGAAGAATGAGAAAAGCAATAGTACTACAGTCTTAGTAAATAGTTTGACAGTGTGGTGGGAATTAGTTGTTTACAGAGGGATGGCATTCAGGGAAAAACTGTCCTTGTGTCCAGTTGTTCTGGTGTGCAGTGCCCTATAGTGTCGTTTCGAGGGTAGAAGTTGAAACCATTTATGTCCAGGATGTTTTTATTATGTTTTATTTTTATTGAGTTATAAAATATTGTAAAATACAAAAGTAAATAGGAAAGGGGTGGGGAGGAAAAGGGGGAAGAGAAGTGAGGGAGGATAAGAAAAAAAGAAACATTGACTTCTAACTCTGTTGCGGTAAACTAAGGCATTACCATCAAATCACAACTTTTTGCTTTTTCATAATAATATGAACCAGCCCTTTCTGTAAAGATCTATCAATCTACTCGGTAAAACCCAAAATCAAACTTTCATTCTTTTCCACATCAAGCACCAAGTGGAAACAAAAGTACTTTTATATTCTTTTCTTTAATCAAAGGAGTCCATTTTGCCATTTCAGCCGACTCCATCAGCTTCTGCAGCCATTCGTCCGTGGTAGGAATCGAAGTCTCCTTCCATTGGGGCATGCAACAGCCTTGGCTGCCGTCAACATATAAAATAACGAAGTTCCAAATTTTTTTCTCCAGTTCTTTTTTCATCGAGCCCAAAAGGAAAAGTTCTGGTTTCATTTTTATCTCCATGTTCAAAATTTTCTGTGTTAAAATATATGAATCTACTACTCCAAATTGGAGTACTGGCCTGGACTACTCGCCTGGACTACTGTAATGCTCTCTACATGGGGCTCCCCTTGAGGTGCACCCGGAGGCTCCAACTCCAGGTGCACCCCATAATCACCCGCGCTCCATGCAGCTGCGCGGGTGATTATGGGAGCAACAGGGCGCTCTCACGTAACACCTCTCCTGCGCGAGCTGCACTGGCTCCCGGTGGTCTTCCGGTGCGCTTCAAGGTGTTGGTTCTCACCTTTAAAGCGCTCCATGGCTTAGGGCCAGGGTATTTACGAGACCGCCTGCTGCTACCGATAACCTCCCACCGGCCAGTACGCTCGCACAGAGTGGGCCTCCTCAGGGTGCTGTCGGCCAAGCAATGTCGGCTGGCGGCCCCCAGGGGGAGGACCTTCTCTGTGGGGGCACCCGCCCTGTGGAATGAACTGCCCCCGGAAATATGACTGATCCCGGACCTCTGCACTTTCTGCAAGGCCCTGAAGATTTATTTATTCCAACAAGCTGGCCTAGCTTAAATGGTTTTAATGGGGATTTTTAATCTTTTAATTTTATTGGGTTTTTTGGGTTTTAAATTTTGGGAATTTTTTGATTTTGTAGATTTGGGATTTTAAATTGGTAATGCCGCTGATTTAATCTATTTTAGTTTTTTCTTAACTTTTGTATTATATGTGTTTTAATTTCTGGCTGTCCACCGCCCTGAGTCCCCGGGGGAGAAGGGCGGTATATAAGTTTAATTAAATAAAATAAATAAATAAAATTGCATGTCCACCATAGACGATAAAAAGTTCCTTCTTTACTTTTACACTTCCAACATTTATTTGACCTACCTTTATACATCTTAGATAAACTTATTTGGTGTTAAATACCGACCTGAAGGTTTTGAGGAAGAGACCGGACAGCCATTTGTCCAGAATGATAAAAGTAGTCCCCGACTTACGTCGTTTACTGATAGCGTCTCAAGTTCGCGCGTTCACTCTTTTGCAACCTTCCCAGACGGCTTATGACTTATGACTTCATATTTATGACCGTCGCTGTGTTCCAAGGTCACGTGATTCCCCGTTTGTGCCCTGCCGAATAAGCCAAGTCAAGGGGCAAGCCAGATTCCACTTAACAACCAGGTGGCTGGCTTATCAACTGCAGTGATTCACTTAACAACGGAGGCAAGAGAGGTCGTAAAATGGGGCAAAACTTAACAACAGAAATTGGGGGCTCAATTGTGGTCGTAAGTTGTATTTACGGCAGTTGTAATGTCCTGAGTTCATGCGATCACCGTTTGCGACCTTCCCACTGGCTTCTGACAAGCATGGCTGCCTGGGGAATTCTGGGGATTGAAGTCCCACAGGTCTTAAAGGCTGAGAAACATTGCACAAGGCAGTGGTTGTGTGCCACTCAGGTAGTCCTCAACTTACAACAGTTCATTTAGTGACCATTCAAATTTACAACGGCCCTAAAAAAAAGTGACATGGCAATTTTTCCCACTTAGGACCGTTGCAACATCCCCACAGTCACATGATTAAAATTTAGTTCCTTGGCAACTGATTCACATTTATGACAGTTGCAGCGTCCCGGGGTCAGGTGATCCCCCTTTTTGCGACCTTTCTGCAAGCCAAGTCGATGGGGAAGCCCAATTCGCTTAACGACCCTGTGACTAACTTAACCACGGCAGTGATTCACTTAACAACGTCGGTAAGAAAGGGTTGTAAAAGGGTGCTCAATTCACTCCGCAAATGTTTGGCTCAGCAACAGAAATTTGGGGCTCCATTGTGGTTGTAAGTTGAGGACTGCCTGTAAGCTTAGAGCTGTGGGCCACGGCCCACTACCAGGCTGTGACCAATTGGCCACTGGGCCGCATGACTGGCTGGCCAGTGTGTGCGCATATATGCGTCTGTACACCCCACACTCGTGCAGTTATCTCCACAAGTGCCACGCAGGTGCTACCCTTGCGCGCGCCCCCCTCTCCGTATTTGCATCCCCTTCTCCCTCCCTCCGGGCTGCCAACCCAGAAAGTTTGGGAAACTCTGGCTTAGAGGGCCGTTTCCAACTTGACTGGGGAATCAAGGGTTCCAAGTAATAACATCCATTTCAAAGAGTCAGGTTCCTCAAAGAGCAATTTATTAGGATATATCCTATATTAGCACAAAGCTGGTGAAAACCGACTCTGAAAATTCCTGCGGTTTTCACCTTATTAAAAGTGGAAGTTTGTGACTTTCCCAAACCAATCAGTTACACGGTCCAATCAGCATACAGCATACAGTCCGGTTGCTAAGTGACCTCAGTCTCCTCCTCCTGAACACCTGTACGCGGCCTGTGCGGCTGGTGGCTGATTCGGACAGCGAGGAGGCTGGTGTGGTGCTGCGCGAGCAGCCTATGCAGCTGGCACTCGAGTCGGACAGTGAGGAGGCTGGAGAAGATGTGGTGCCAGAGGCGGGGATTCAGCCAGGGCCTTCAGAACCTCCAGAAGCTTCCATGGGTGAAGAGGACGAAGAGGAGGAGCCTCTTCTCGATGCACAGGCACGCAGAGCTGCCAAAAGGCAGGAGTGGCTCCTCTGGAGGAGGTCTCCTCGAGATTAAGGCTTGGGGCTAATTGGCCACTCCCTTAGCCTATTTAAGGAGGAACGCCAACTGAAGCAATTTGCAGGGAACAACTTCGTTCACTCTCCTTCGTGCCTTGCTCTTAGTTCTCTGCAAATTGCTTCTGGGCTTTCTGCCAACCATAGTAAGATTAAGATTATTTATTCTTTGGATTCTTGCAGGCTGTTAAGAAAGTGAATTAACAGCCTTTGTTTGTAAAAAAAAAACAAAACCTGATTTTATTTTAGTAAACTAAGGTTTGTACAGACTTTGTGTGTGCTGCGTTCTTTGGGGTCCGTAGCTGGGGCAGAACAACCTGCCGGAATGTCCTTGTTTCCCAAGGGAAAGCACTCTTTACTTTGGCTACAGCACCCCACCTATCTCTACTGCCCCCCCTCCCTATCCCCAACTCTGGTGTGTGTCAGCACTGAAGCAGAGAAAGAAAGTGGCTTCAGTTTAGCCAGCTTCAGCGTTCTCCTTTTTGGTTCTGCAGCTCCCGATCACTTTGAGCTGGCCACCGAGCAACGGGCCAGGGAACGTCAGGAGTTCGAGAAGAGGCTAGCCGAGCTGGAGGCGGAGAAGGCTCGGCTGCAGGAGGCCACCCGGCGGGTGGGAGGAGGAACGGGCAAAGGAAGAGATGGCCAAGCTTCGCGAAGATCTGGTAAGGGCCCCCTCTGCTTTGGAAGGGAAGGACGACGGGACCCTTTCACTCCCAAATCTTCGGTTTTGCCCCTTGGAGGCAGCGCTCACCATCCTGTTTTTGGCTGACCAACTCCAAATAGAAAGGGGATTTATTTCCCACCATTTGCCCAATTACGAAGAGTCCTCGACTTACAACGGTTTGTTTAGTGACCAAAGCACTGAAAAAAGGGACTTGGGACCGTTTTGCATACTTACAAATGATGCACCATGTTAAGGTTATTGTTGTTGTGTTACCAACCAGCAGAGTAGATTGCACAGTGAAACGTTGCTGAGAGCAATGAATAAGAGATATGCAAACTGGTTTATCAAAAGCTTACTTTATAGTAGAAAAACAGTTTCATAGTCTTTAAACAAATTCCAAGTCTTTGCCAGTAAATCAGTCCAGTAGTTACAGAATCTTCTTACCCAACAAACAGTAGTTGGTTAGAATAATAAACTCACTCTGGTTCACAAACCACGATGGTTGCAGATCCATCCAATGATAATTAGCAGATAGCACCTCCTCTCAATGATAGCTTATCATCACAGCTTCATCATCAACAGCAGCATCATAGCAGCAACCTCTCAACAGCAGATCATAGCAGCAACCTGAACACGTTGCAGTACCTTGCTTAAATATTCTCACAACCAGTAATTATGTAATTACAGCATGACTCAGCATTAAAGCCACATAACACATATACAGATAAAGTAACAGTACACTTATATTGCCTGGACAACATAGTTAGGCTCAAACCATATCCTAACACACCATTCACGTGATCCTCAATCAAAATTCAGACGCTCGGCAAGTGGCTCGTACAATATTTATGGCGGTCGCAGCGTCCCGGGGTCACATGATTCCCTTTCGCGACCTGAGAAGCAAAAGTCAATGGGGGGAAGCCGGATTCACTTAACGACCATCTTATTAACTTAACAGCTGCGGCAGGAAAGGTCGTAAAATGAGGGAAAACTCACTGAACAATTTGTCTCGCTTAGCAACAGAAATTTTGCTTCCCCTGGTTGTTAAGCGAATCTGGCCTCCCCACTGACTTTGCTCATCAGAAGGTCGCAAATGGGGATCCACGTGACCCTGGGATGCTGCAGTGGTCATAAGTATGAACCAATTTCCCAGCATCTGAATTTTGATCACCTGGTCATGGAGATACTACAAAGGTTGTAACCTTGAAAAATGGTCATCGGTCACTTTTTTCAGTGCTGTTGTAACTTGGAACGAATGAATTGTTAGAAGTCAAGGACTACCTGTATTTGCATGGATACAGCATTAATTAATGGCAGGGGTCCATAACCCCCAGGTTCTGGACCAGTACCGGGCTGTGACCTTCAGGCTGCGCAAGCAACAGGCCAGTGACTGATGCGTCATCTGTGCGTGCGCAGAATCTCGATTGCGCACAAGACCATTCTCCCTTATCCTGCCCCTGGTCTGTGGAAGACCATTTTCCTTCTGAAACTGGTCCCTGGTGCCCGAAACGTCGGGGACCGCTGATTTATAGCATATGCTAGCTAGGGAATTCTGGGAGTTGAAGTCCACCCGTCTTAAATCGGCCAAGGCTGAGAAACACCTCTTTGAACTTGTGTGTCAAGGTTCCAAGTAATACATCGAGGCAGGCAAATTCCTCAAAAGAACATTTTATTGGGACCTATCAAATTAGCATACTCCTGGTGAAAAACCGGCTCTAGGTTCCCACCGGTTTTACGCCCAATTAAAAGTATAACCTTTTCCCCCCCCCCCCCCCCCGAGTCTCCAGTCATGTGGTCCAATCAGCATATTCATTTTTAATGTGTGCCAGTGTGCTCACAGTAAAAAAAAATGACAATAAAGGTTGTCTTGTTTTTGTCTTTGTCTTGTCCTTCTCCTTCTCCTTGGTCTGTGTCTTGGTCTTTATTCTTGTTTTGACTTGTCTTTTTCTTGTCCTTGTCCTTCGTCTTTGTCTTTGTCTTGGTCTTTATTCTTGTTTTGACTTGGTCTTTGTCTTGTCCTTGTCCTTGTCCTTCGTCTTGGTCTTTGTCTTGGTCTTTATTCTTGTTTTGACTTCGTCTTTGTCTTGTCCTGGTCCTTGTCCTTCTCCTTGGTCTGTGTCTTGGTCTTTATTCTTGTTTTGACTTGGTCTTTGTCTTGTCCTTGTCCTTCTCCTTCTCCTTGGTCTGTGTCTTGGTCTTTATTCTTGTTTTGACTTGGTCTTTGTCTTGTCCTTGTCCTTGTCCTTCGTCTTTGTCTTTGTCTTGGTCTTTATTCTTGTTTTGACTTGGTCTTTGTCTTGTCCTTGTCCTTGTCCTTCGTCTTGGTCTTTGTCTTGGTCTTTATTCTTGTTTTGACTTGGTCTTTGTCTTGTCCTTGTCCTTGTCCTTCTCCTTGGTCTGTGTCTTGGTCTTTATTCTTGTTTTGACTTGGTCTTTGTCTTGTCCTTGTCCTTGTCCTTCGTCTTTGTCTTTGTCTTGGTTTTTATTCTTGTTTTGACTTTGTCTTTGTCTTGTCCTTGTCCTAGTCCTTGTCCTTGTCCTTCGTCTTGGTCTTTGTCTTGGTCTTTATTCTTGTTTTGACTTGGTCTTTGTCTTGTCCTTGTCCTTCTCCTTGGTCTGTGTCTTGGTCTTTTATTCTTGTTTTGACTTGGTCTTTGTCTTGGACTTGGACTTGGTCTTGGTCTTTATCTTTATTCTTGTTTTGTCTTTGTTCTTGTCTTGTTTTCGTTTTTGCCTTTATCCTTATCCTTGTCCTTGTCTTTATATTTGTTTTGTCTTTGTTCTTGTCTGGTCTTTGTCTTCAGCAAGCCTCTCTTTCCGGAGCAGGCAAAGCTGCCCTTTTGTGACATCACACTCACCCCAGTTTCCCTTCTTTCTCCTTCTCTCCCAGGTGCACAAGGCCAACCCCATCCGCAAATACGCCAGCGTGGAAATCAAAGCCAGCGACCACCCACTGACCGTGCCACGGTCTCCCAATTTCTCCGACAGGTTTCAGCGTTGAGTCCCGATGCCCGCCCGATTGCAACAGCCACGGGGGGGGCGGTGGGGGGAGGTTGGCTTCCTCCTCGACTTTGAAATTTTATCTCGCTTCGTTCACACATCGAAATGTTTTTTTCAGCCTGTGACTCAGGGGTCTCGAGACTCGTCCGCCCCCCCCCCTTAGTTCTCCCCTCCAAAAAGGCACCCCAGTTTTATCATTTTATCATACTTTTGGATGAGCCTTTGTATTTATCTGCATTAAATAAAAAAAAATATATAGATGAGGGAAATGAGACACTGGAAAAGGTTTCTTTCGGCCATTGTGGGGGCTGTTATATCCTTCTGTCCTCCTGGGAGGACATACCCCATGCCTCCCCCCCCTCCACCTACCGTCTCTTGGCTGTGGATTACCACGTCAAGGATTGTTTTGTGAGTCCTGGAAGTGTGTGTGTGTGTGTGTGTGTGTGCATTGCTGATTAGGGGCTGTGTTTTAAATAACCCTCTGTAGCACAGATAGTCCTCGACTTAACGACAGCTCACTTAGTGGCCATTCAAAATCACAACATCACTGAAAACAGTGATTTGGCAACTGGCTCGTATTTATGACAGCTGCTGTGTTCCCGGGGGTCATGTGATTCCCCTTTTGCGACCTTCTGTCCGGCAAAGTCAAGGGACAAACGACATTCGCTTAACAACTGTATCAACTGCAGGGATCGACTTAACCACGGGGGGCAGGAAAGGTCGTAAAACGGGGCAAAACTGGCTTGAGAAATTTCTCGCTTAGCAACATAAAGGCTGGGCTCGGTTGTTGGTCGTAAGTCAAGGACTGTCTGTATTGTGAAGTTGGTACAGGTTCCGACTACAGTATGTTCTTTGTGTCTCTCTCTTTGGAGGGTGGGGAATGAGCTTGAGGGAGCGGAAATGATTCTAGAAGCCTCATTTTGGGGGTCGAAGGGGTGGGATCTGTAGCAGAGCTCTGCCTGTGCCGGTTGGGACAAACTTTTAATTCCTTACCCAAAGAATAAACTCTTCGCAGTTGAACTGTAGGCTCCTTGGTGCTCTCTGAGCTTGGTGGTTTTCTTGCAGACGTTTCATGACCCATCTAGGGAACGTCATCAGTGCTAGAAAATAGGTCTGTGGAGAATAGGATGAGGAAGTCCTATGGTGGCGCAGTGGACTAACTGCTGTTAAAGTAGCACTTAAGTTACCAGCTGCCTGCAATTACTGCAGGGTTCGAATCTCGCCAAGGCTCAAGGTCGACTCAGCCTTCCATCCTTTCTAAGGTAGGTGAAATGAGGACCCAGTTTGTGGGGGCAATAAGCTGACATTGTATAAAATATACAAAAGTATGAAGGCTATTGCTGAGCACATTGTAAGCCGCCCTGAGTCTCCGGAGAAGGGCGGCATATAAATCGAACCAATCAATCAATCAATCAATAAATAAATAAAGAAGAGAAAAGGGAGGAAGAGTACTATGAGGTCCTTGGTGCTCTCTAAGCTTGGCTGTTTTCTTGCAGACGTTTTATGACCCAACTAGGTAGCATCATCAGTGCTAGAAGGGAGTGGGGATTGTGGAGTGTAGGAGGAGGGAGAGAGGAGGAGGAGGACTGTGGGGTCTTTGGTGCTCTCTGAGCTTGCAGGCGTTTAATAACCCAATTAGGGAACATCATCAGTGCTAGAAGGGAGTGGAGTTTGAGGAGGAGGAAGGCAGGAGAGTAAAGGGAGGAAGAGGAGGAGGAAGAGGAGAACTGTGGGGTCCTTAGTGCTCTCTGAGCTTGCTTGCAGATGTTCCCAACTAGGGAACATCATCAGTACTAGAAGGAAGGAAGGGGGGAGGAGGAGGAGGGAAGAGGAGGAAGAAGAGAAGAACTGTGGGGTCCTTGGTACTCTCTTTTTTTTTTTTTAATTTGATTTATATGCCGCCCTTCTCAGGAGACTCAGGGCGGCTTACAATGCGTTAAGCAACAGCCTTCATACTTTTGTATATTTATACAAAGCTTATTGCCCCCACAAACTGGGTCCTCAATTTACCTACCTTAGAAAGGATGGAAGGCTGAATCAACCTTGAGCCTTGGCGAGATTCGAACCTGCAGTAATTGCAGGCAGCTGGTGTTAATAACAGGGTGCTTTAAACCACTGTACTACCAACTACTCTCTGAGCTTATTTGTTTTCTTGGGGACATTTCATGACCCATCTAGGGAACGTCATCAGTGCTAGAAGGAAGCGGAGTCCAGAGAAGAGGAGGGAGGACGAATACTGTGCTTTGTGATTTTCTTGCAAAACCTTTCGTGACCCATCTAGGGCACATCATCAGTGTTAAAAGGGAGTGGGGTTTGTGCAGTGGAAGAGGAGGAGGAGGAGAGGCAGGAGGAAGAATAGTGTGGGGTCCTTGGTGAACTCTGAGCTTGGTGGTTTTCTTGTAGACATTTCGTGACCCAACTAGGGAACTGTCACCCCTGGAGCCATTTCCCCCCTTGGCACTTCAGGGGCTGCCACAGCGAAGGAAGTCAAGCTGTGGGAACTGGGGGGGGGAGGAAGGAAAGGATAACGGGGGGATTGCAGCCATAATAAAATTCTTCCTCCTGAGAACCAAGAGTTTTCCCACCAGGTGCAAGGAGGTGGTGGTGGGGGTCTGAGACCGAGTGACCCGTGGACTGTGTGACCCGATGAGACCATGGGATGGACTGCCTGGGCAGAGGAGGATTTAGGGCAGAATCCGAGGGGAGCGCTCAGAGTCGGCTTTCCCCCGATGTGCCAATATGACCTGCCTAATAAATCTATTCTTTGCCTGCCTTGGAGTTTTGATTCTGTTGGGCTTGTTACTTCCAACCCTGACATGAAGGTCATCAATACTAGAAGGAAAGGGGGTTGCAGATAGGAGGAGGAGGAGGAGGACTTTAGGGTCCTTGGTGCCCTCTGAGTTTGTTTGTTTTGTTTCCTTGCAGACATTTCGTGACCCAACTAGGGAACGTCATCAGTGCTACAAGGGAGTGTAGTTGGGAGAAGGAAGACTGTGGAGTCTTCGGTGCTCTCTGAACTTGGTGCTTTTCTTGCAGACGTTTCGGGACCCATCTAGGTAACATCAGTGCAAACTCCCCTCCCTCCTAGCACTGATGGCGTTTCCTCCGTCGGTCCATGAAACGTCTGCAAGAAACCAGCCGAGCTCAGAGACCACCGAGGACCCCACAGTTCCAAGCCGAACTACAAGGGGCCTCGGGAAAGCCGAGCAAAGTTGGATCTGTGCATAATGGGGGGTGGATGGGAGGCCCCTTATCATCATCTCCCCCAGGGTTTCTCAACCTTGCCAGCTTTAAGCTTCTATGGCCGTGATGGCGAAATGGCACGCATGCCACAGGTGGCACACGGAGCCATATCGGTGGGCACGCAAGCGCATGTACGCGCTGGTCAGCTGATTTTTGGGCCTTCTGGGCCCACTGGAAGTCAGGAAACAGGCTATTTTCGGCCTCCGGTGGGATGGGGAAGGCTGTTTTCGCCCTCCTCAGGCTCCTAGAAAGGCTCTGGAGCCTGGGGAGGGCCAAAACAGGCCTTCCGGTCCCGCTGGAAGTTGGCAAATGGGCTGTTTCCAGACTCCGGAGGGCCTTCGAGGGGATGGGGAAGGCTGTTTTAGCCCTCCCCAGGCTCCAAGAAACTCTGGAGCCTGGGGAGGGCGAAAAATGGGCCCACTGTGCCATCACATGCCAAAAGTGGGCGGAGTGCCAGGGTGTTGCATGAGCATACGTGGGGAGACGGGGTGCACTGAATTATGGGTGTGGGCATGCGTGGGCGTGACCCCCCCCATGCTCCCTCCGCTTTTGGCACACTGGCGAAAAGGTTAGCCATCACTGTTGTGCCCATGTGACACCCCTCCTGCGCGAGCTGCACTGGCTCCCGGTGGTCTTCCGGGTGCGATTCAAGGTGTTGGTCACCACCTTTAAAGCGCTCCATGGTACAGGACCCGGGTACCTTCGAGACCGTCTTCTGCCACCAATAGCCTCCCACCGGCCAGTCCGCTCCCACAGAGAGGGTCTCCTCAGGATGCCATCGGTCAAGTTATGTCGGCTGGCGACACCCAGGGGGAGGGTCTTCTCTGTGGGAGCCCCTGCCCTGTGGAACGAACTGCCCCCGGAGATACGTAAGATCTCCGACCTCCGGGTATTTCGCTGTGCCCTCAAAACCTTGTTCCGCCAGGCTGGGCTATCAATATAAAGATTTTAATTTGGTTTTTAAATATGGGATTTTAAATTTGGGGGTTTTATAATTGAGCCTATCATTTAATAATTTTAATAATTTTAAATTTTGTCTTTGTGCTTTTAATCAGGCTGTACACCGCCCTGAGTCCTTCGGGAGAAGGGCGGTATAGAAATAAAATTAATAAATAAATAAACTGTTCTCTGGGGCTGTAAACCAGGATTTGGGGTGGTCAAATGGAGCACCGAGATTCAAATGATTGTATCAACAGAGGGCATAGGATCAAAATCACGTGAAGTGTTAGTACCATTTTATAAAGCCTTAGTAAGGCCACGCCTGGAGTACAGTTTTGGTCACCACGTTATAAAAAAGAGGTTTGAGATTTTGGAAAAAGTGCAAAGAGCAACTAGGACAGGGCTCTGCAACCTTAAACACTCAAAAGAGCCATTTGGACCCGTTTCCCACAGAAAAGAAAACACCGGGAGCCACAAAACCTGGGTGGGTGTGGCCAGCTCGATGTCACTCACTTCCACCAGTCACATGACACACACACACACCCTAGCCACGCCTACCCAGCCGGTCATTAGGACAGATAACCAAAAACACCAGGAACCACAAAACCCTTGTGACATCTCTCCCTCTCTGTATCTCTCTGTCTCTGCCCTGGCGGCTTCTCCATCCTTACCTTCTCAGGCCAGGTGAGGAGTGACGGGCACAAGTTGCTGACCCCTGAATTAAGACGATGAAAGGCCTGGAGACAAAAATATAGGAAGAACAGTTGCAGGATTTGGGTTTGTCTAGTTTAATGAAAAGAAGGACCAGGGGAGACATGATTGCAGTCTTCCAATATCTCAGGGGCTGCCCCAAAGAAGAGGCAGTCAAGCTATTCTCCAAAGCGTTGGTAGTACAGTGGTCTAAAGCACCCTGTTATTAAGACCAGCCGCATGCAATTACTGCAAGTTCAAATCTCACCAAGGCTCAAGGTCGACTCAGCCTTCCATCCTTTCTAAGGTAGGTAAATTGAGGACCCAGATTGTGGGGGCAATAAGCTGACTTTGTATAAATATACAAAAGGATGAAGGCTATTGCTTAGCGCATTGT